TTTATTTTTTTTTTTTTTTGCCTTTTTTTTTTTATATTCTATTTTCTTTTAAAAAAAAAATTTTTTCTTTTTTTTTTTTTTTTTTTTTTTTTTTCCCGAAAAAAAAAAAAAAAAAAAAAAAAAAAAAAAAAAAAAAAAAATTAAATGATGGTGAAAAATGATTGATCACGAATTTCATTTTTTTTTAAAAAAAAAAAAAGTGGAATTTTTTTTTTTTTCAAAATAGCGCGGATCACATGAAATAGTTCAAATCGACCCTTTAGAAGCTCAATTCTATCCACAATTTTGCATATAGCGGGGATGATTTACATGTTTATGATGATTATTTCGGTAAATATCTTGATTTAGTATATTGGATTTGTTAAAAAAAATACCTTAACCAATTATAACTAATAAAAGAACATTTTAGGAGCTTTTGAGGGTTAAAAATAAAAAAAAAAAAAAGAGAATAACAAAAAAAGAAAATAAAAAAGGCGACACAAAAATGCATTAAAAGTTACTTCTTATGTATTGTTGACAAAATCGGAACTTTAATATGCGTATCTTGCATAATTTTTTTCTTTTTACTATTTATATTGTATTGTGTTTCAAATTTCAAATGTTTAGAATTTTGATATATATATAAATATCAACCATACAAACAATAGTTATTTCCAATTATTTTGTTTTCATAAAAACATATATATATATTTCTCTCCTTTTTCTCCAAAAAATTTTTTCCCCGTCAAATAACGAAAAGTCTAATTTTAAAAATGGAAGTGTACAAGTCGTATTACTTTGAAACAAAACATCAACGAATATCCTCCGCTACATATCTTCGTGAATTACTATATTCCATGTTTACCATTCTCCAAGCGACCAAAGATTCTTACATTCCTCATCCGGTACCGAAATTCCCTTTAAGGCCTAACATAAGCCAACGAGAAAGTATTGGCTATTATATTATCCTTACATGGCAAGAAATCCATGGGAAACTTTTACAGAGCTTGGAAGAAGATAGCCTTCCTACGTGGACGCTTGAAGAATTAAATATTTGGTGGGGAATGGTTAGACTACTTCACCTATGCTTAATGGAACTTGCATTTAAAAATGGATGGGGAGGCTTCTTCAAACACAAGGCAGATAACGCCGAAACTCTTTTAAAACTATTCAAACATTGTGAAATGTCATTTAAGAAAGATTCATCTTATGCGAATGCGGTACATATTAGTATTAATGAATTACAAGGTGATTTGAAACCATGCAATTTGGAACAAGTGAAAGGGTTACTTCCGGTCATAGAAGGAAAAGTCTTGTTACACTCTCAACATGATTTTAACAATTTATTCGGTATCGAAGAAAGCTTCTTGTTCGAAGGAACTAAAATCTCTAACGAAAATCTTAAAGAGGTCAATAATTTGAGAATATTAATTGGTAGAGTACAGGATCATATTAAACCGTTGATGTTGTTATTACAAAGATAATTCCTTTCTTATTTTTTATTTTTTTTTTTATTCCTTTTTTTTTATGTAATGGTTACTAAATAGTGTAATATACAAATAATAATAAAACATAGAATGTTTTTTTACAATCAATCAAAGTATACTGTAATTCATTCAACCTTTTATAAAAAAAGAAACAACAAAAAGAAAGGGATTTCATACATTCGCTCGCCTCGGTGCGGCGCAGCTGAGCAGGTATGCTAGTCGTTAAAATAGAAAAGGGTTTATCTTTCAGATTTCTCCTAAATTTATTCACAAACACCGAACCCAAATTACGTAATGTTCTGTATATCCATGCGGTCCTTGGCGTAATCACGGAGTTGATGAGCCGAAGCCGTTGACGTAGCAGCATTTTCATTTGGCCATTTAAGCTCAAAAGATGCTTATTTTATACAATTTATACAATTCCCATTATAAATTGATTTAGAACAATCAATCTTTACAATGACAAAAAATCACTTCCTCCCTTTCTTATTTTATTTTCCAAATATTATTGTAAATTTTAAGCTCCATTGCAACATATATGGCAAATTCTTTCTAACCTTGATAGGATAATCATTTTTATAATTCCGATAATGGTAATTTTAATATAAACAGCTAAGCCTCCGATCAAATTTATTGCCGATCAATGCAATTTTAAATGACGTATTATCCAAGTTGGATAATAGGTCGCGTTACCTACACTATTTGTACGATTTGATATTGGACGAATCCCAAATCAGCGAAATTGACTCATTAATATATTACTATAACCGCGGGATTCCTTCGGTTGACGAATCTATATCATAAGGAAACTTTCGTAATAAAGGGTCAATGCGATAAATTATAAAAAATTGGTGTAAGCAAATATGTTTTCTTACCTAATGCGCAATACATTTATTATCCCAGTCGTGTACCGTCATTATTGTTGTTGTGCTTTTGTTGCTGCCGTGTATGACGTGCCGGTGTAATTAATTACGTGACATTGTTAATTTGAAGAAATTTTCTTTAATTGTTATGTTGAGTATCGTAGGACGCTCTGATTGTATGAATCTCCTATCACTTGCAGAACAATACAATTAGTTAGTGGAAAGGTTTCTCCGAATACTGCGCCACATACCTCAATGAAACAAAGACGGCGTATGATTAATTAAAAATGAACAGTAGATTACATCAACAATGATATAAAAAACATATCATAACACTTCGAAACCATTTTCCTTCTCTCTTCTCACAAAATTTATGAACATGTTGATATCTTCTTATATTTGGAGCTATCTTCCTGGCGGTGTGATTATGAAACAGATGCATGTAACCACATGGAATTCGAAGACTGCATATTTGAGTTAAAAATATTACATGCGCTTATATTAAACGTAAAACGAAATATTTCACAATGTTCTTCAATTTATTAACTTAGGTTCAATTGATTGATTGACTAATACAACTACAACTTGCCACACAAAATATGATATAAAATTGATTAGAAAACTTAGTCTTGTTTTATTAAATCGATTATTACCATTTATTAATAAGATTTCTAATATTCCTGGTGTAATTTAAATTTTTCGGTGAATTTGATACTTGTAAATTTTTACAATTTAAGTTATTAGTTTGATGTTTTTGTAACGAAAAAATGATAAATTATCAAAATCAAATGAACTTTTTGTTACCGTTAACGTGTTATCGAAAATCAAATTAAAAGTCATCAATTCTACCGGTGAAGAGAACACTGAAAAAATTCCTATGATTGATAAATCGGCTTTAGTCCTTCCATATGAATCATTAATGTAAAATTGCTTTTAATTTTGAAGAAATACGTAAATAATATTAACAAATGTTATGATATTAAAGTATCAAAAATTTAATGAACATGAATGAATACCTTTAGGAGGGTTTGAATGAAATTTCATGGCGGCATTTTCATTTAAAATTACGTTTTAAATGTATCCTCCAAGGTTTGTTTAATACGACATTTTTTCAACAACCTATTCCTAAATGCACGAACGATGTTTGATGGTGTAAATAAATAATTACATGTTCGCGTATGGAATTGGAAAACATATCAATACCGTATAAGAAATTTTGAATTCTCAGAAAAATATAATCGCAGAAGTTACAAAAAAATTTTCCATGTTTTAATGTTTATTATTTTGTTGTTTTCAAACAATCAGAGTTAGTGGTAAATGACAATCCTTTTTTTAAAAATTGTACAAAAAAATTCCCGCATCTAAATTTTTTATTTTTTTTTTTGCGTGATCGGCGCAGCCCAGCCGTTGTACCACTCTTAATCTGCACGCCAACCGATTATTACTGAGTCAGCATCTAGATTGTCAAATCTAAAGTCGAATTTTGGGAAATTATAAAAACACTGGAATTGCATCAATTATATGGGTTCGCAAATGAATTTAGATAAATTAAGTTTAGCTTCTCATCTTCTTTTGAAATTGTTATACGAAATTCAAAGATTATATAAGTATCGGAAATCACCAATTCCTATAAAAAGGAAGTAAATGAATTTAGTTAGCACTCAATTGACCATATCGCACAATCGAAATATGTTGTAGCACAAGTATTGTAAACTAATCATTTGAGTGGTATACTATTTAGTGCTCCGTAAGGGTAGGGTCGGGTCGGGTTTAAGGCATATTCGAACTCGAACCCGTTAATAATTACAGAACCCGAATTCGACTCGACCCGATCATTGTTCAACTCGGATTCGACTCGACCCGATATTGTTTAACCCGGGTTCGATCGAATTTTCAAGGGTAATTTACCGAAAATAAATAAAGTGTCATATACTGTAAGTCTATTTTATTTTTAAAATTTATTATTATGGTCCGGTGCAAAAAGATTTGTACAGCAAAAAAAAATTTAATTTTGTCTACATATAAATTTCTTAAATTTTAATAATATATTTATAAATTTTTTTATATAATATAGAATATACTTCAATCTATCTTTTTATATAGTTTTTTTATTACTTTTATATTCTTTTATGTAAAATTTATTAAGGAAAACTTTTGAATTTTTTTATAAAAAAATACATAAATTTTTTATTAAAGAAATAAATTTTGATATTTTTTTCATAATATATGCAATTTTATGAGTTCATATTACGCAAGTGCATAGTTTTATATACAATAAATATATATTTTAAATTTGAACTAAATTGAATTAGTAGTTATTAAGAAATCAAGTTCTAAAGTTTAATAATTTTACTTTTTTCACTATAAAATATATATAAGTTTATATAGTAAATTTTATAATAATTTATACAAACAAATTGAATCAATTCTAATAAATTTTTAATTATTATATTCGAATTCTCCTTGATGAGACGATTCCAACAAGCCTAAAATCATGAAATTCTGATCACTGGCTATGGAAAAATTGATTGTTTTTTTTTAAAATGCGGTAGTTTCGCAATATCTTTATTATGAAAGTAAAATATATAAAATAAAGTACAAATCAAAAGAAATTACAAAATTCTCGTAAAGAAATACTCTAAGACTAAGACTATAGAAGACCAACCCTACACTCCCCAAAATCAAAACCTAACCTAAGCTAAGAAAATCACCTTTCAAGTAAAAAAATAAAGTAAAGTAAAGAGGGTGAGGCCACTACTACACTAAAAATTTAACCAATAGGATTCCATCCATATCATTGAGAAAATAGAAGAAAAGCTAAAAGAATGAATAAAAGGGTTAGATAAAAGATCATAACCTGAAGTAATAAAATTGGCAGCTTTAGAAGCAAAAGTGATATTAAGGAATTTTTTATAATCGTAAACAAGTTAATAATGTTTATAGAAAACATTTTAAGTAAATTCAAAAATTAAATACATAAAAGAAGAGCAAGTACCTAAAGCTAATAGTTGGGATAAAAATTTCTTGAGAAAAAAATAAAAAGAAGTGTTAGAACAATTTTACAGATGAGAGCAAAAAACTCTGCAATATTATAAGTATCGAGTAGCTAACAATTTAATTGATCAATTTCATAGTTATATATATTGGTAATATTTTTTAGATAAGATTTAGATCGTAGAATGATATTCTTCATTTCGTAGTTAACAGTGGAATACATCTAAATATAATAAAAGTTTTCATCAGCAGCATCACATCGTAAATATAAAAGTGAATAGTCATAAAGAGATCGATGTCATAATTTAAGAATTTCTAAGGTTAGCAACATTTTAAGATGACGTTGATATTTTATTCTTTAGACAAAGAAAGTAGTATAAGATGTATATTGTGATGCTATATTGTCATTGAGTATAAAGAAAGTGCGAACTAATTGATTTGATATAGCTGTAAATATTTTGATAAGATAAAAAGTTAAAGCAGATTGGAGATGAAGCGTTTGCGAAAGAATTCTTTGTAAAATTATCTGATTGGTATAATAATTAGAACATTATTATAAGTGAAATAGCATTAAGAAGCATTAATTATGTGAAGTTAAAAAGCTGTAGTGTCTAAACAGGACTTTGTTAGAGTATTAATTTTGTTATTATAAATGTTATCAGAGTAAGCTTTAACTTTAATCATATTAACAATGAAGTTGTAAGTGTCCATTACTTAAAAAAGACAAGATCAATGCACGTGATTATTAATTTTGAGAGCAGGTTGAACAGTGGAAGCTTTTGATAGAAGGAATTTGTAATAGTTAAATTAGGAAATAATAATGGTTGAGTTAGTAAAAATAGTGATATTAAAATGGAAAAGTTATAAATAAAGCAGTGTAAATAGCTGCAAATTCAAATACAAAGAAGGAAAAGAAAGAAGATACAAAAGCAGAGAAGAAAAAAACTATTGATAAATTTTAGTGAATTTAAAGTTAGACAAGACCCATTCTTACTGAAAGGAGATCCAAGTTTTTTAAGGACTCATCTGTGTAAAATTCTAAAACAGAAGAAGATGTAAATAAGTGAAAAAGAGTTAGTAATTGAAAATTATAAGGAGATGACAAATATTTGTTGAAAAAATTACCAAAGATAGGTAAAGAAAAATTTTTGGGTGTTATAAAAAGGCTTTGATTGTTATTTTTCAAGAAACAAATCAAAACAAGCTTATAAAGGGTACTATAGGACAGAACGCTATGTATTTAATTACAATGATTGTTTTTAAACGTAATTGGAATTTTTGCAATAAGAAAGAGTGGTAGCATGAAAAAAAAACTATCATAATGGCCTCTAATTTTAATAGCAGAATTCTGATGAAATTGGAAGCGTCTACAAAAATCTAAGACATGATATTATCAGATCCTATTAGAGATATGTAATGCATTAAGTGAACTGTATCTTGATCAATTTTTGTAATTCTTTCTAGAACAAAAGAGTTGAAGAAAAATACCACCTGAATGTAATATCAGTAGTTTGATGGGAAGATGTAAGTCATTTGATTGAGTAACTATAACAGTATTTATGTCTATAGGTGTTGATAAGTGATAATTTTCTATCTTGATCAGGACTAAGATGAAATTCTAAAGTTGAATATTAGCTTGAAGTTTGAAAACTCTATGAAATCAGATGAGTAATAGTATAAAAATTATAAAAGGTGACCATATAGTTTTCTTGATAGTTGATTAATTGTTTTATAAAGAGCATTAAAATTTTCTTAGACTAAAAGCATGCTTCCTATAAACATTTGGAATAAATGCTTAAATCAGTGAATTCTCTCCTGTAATTTTATTGGATAGAGCTAGTAGCATATTGAGTTTGAGGTTCATTTGATTAAGAGTACAGAGAAGAACTGGAAGCCAATCATCTGTTCTTGATATTTTAGAAAAAAGCCAATAAAAAAGAAGATTTTTGAAAAGCCACTCTTTTTGTTAAAGTTAAAGGTTCGTAAATAAAAGGATTTTCCAAGTATATTAGTTTTATTGAATATTTGTAATAGAGCATTATTGAAATTTTGTACAAGACATTGATACAGTGAAGTTAAATTATAGAAATAATACAAATGAAATAAGTCTGTTAGAGTGTATTTAGAGAGTTTTAATTTTCTTTTAACAAAGACTAAATAGGTGGTAACAAAGCTTTACACTGTGATTCAGACGGCAATATGAATTAGAACCTGTATTTGAGTCTCAGAAGGAGAACAGTATTAAAGATGTAAATCAACTATGAATTCCTAAGGCGTTTATGCTTCATAATAATAATGGTTTTCTTAATTTCATTATGTATCTAATTAAAAATAAACTTTTTGTTAGACTTGAGTAAGATCTAAACTCTTAAGTATCTAGAATTAGATCAGTCTAGTTCAGTCTGATCCAGTCCAAAAAGACTGATCTTTTATTTTTTTTAGGATTGGACCAGTTTGTAAGTCAGTTCTAGGACTAATTCAAGGACTGATCCTTAGGACTGGTCTTTATATATTTGGTCTTGTCAGTCTGTCTGATCCAAAATATATTTTCTTTTTAGTCTGAACTGATTGATAAGACTGGTCCAAGAACTGGTCTTTAGTTAGCATATAGTATTATTAATTACTGTTCTACATTAATTATATTATTTTTTACAAACACCTTAATGAAACAAACTCTTTAAACTCAATGTTACCCTAACTGTTTCTGCTTCTAATCTATTTCTTAAAGTAAAATAACTAATCTAGCAACTGAAAAAACTTGTTCTGAAGCTACACTTATAGTTTGAATGCACAAATATTCCCTTGTTATTTGATTTAAAATTAAAAAATCTTGTTGTTGTGATTGCCATAATAATAAAGGATCAATTTGGTTTTCTAATGGTATTACTAAATATCTATCTAGCTCTCCTTAAATATTATATACTTGTGATAAAGTAGTTGAAGTAAAATTATTATTATTTTGTAATTGCCTAAAAAAATTTCTTGTATTTGTAATATTATATGATATAGAAGCTATGATTAAAGTAGATGTTAAGAGATATCCATTTAACTTTAATATTAAGTCTTTTACTTTGTTAATTTCATTTTCATCTTTAAATGCAAATAGCTTTGCTCTTAGATATAACAATGAAGAAATTTGTAATAATTCATCTAAAATTGGTAAATAATCCTCTAATTTTTGATAAATTGCATTTGTCATTATATATTGTGAAAATTCATCATCATTTATATTAAATCAAATGTTATTGAATGTCCCAAAAAACTGATTGTATATTATTATGTATTCATAATTTGAAGCTGAAAAAAAGACAAATTACACGTTCAATTAGCTTTAAGAGATTCATTGTATTCTATTAAAAAAATAAAAAGTTATTAGAATATATAACTTTTTTACAAATATTAATTTTAAAATTGAATTACATATATTAATAATTTGCGATCTTTATTATTAGAAATTGTTAACTAATTTCTTCATTATCAACAGCAAGTAAATTTAAGGTAAGTTCTATTTGTTTCCACTTTTCTAACATATAATAAGTTGAATTCTATCTTGTTTTAATATTCAATTCAAGTGCCAAATAATTGATTCCTTTTACTTGACATAATACTTTTAATTTATTATTAGTTGGTTGTAAAGATTTAATATAAATCATTAAGACACATATTTTTTTAATTGAATTACTAATTATATCAATTCCCTTAGCAACTGTTGAATTTAAAATATGTGCAGCACATTGATAATGAGAAAAATTTAAATTATTAAATTCTTCTTCAAATTGTTCTGCTATAAAATTACCACAAATAATCATTAAGCTTGCATTATCTGTTATTAAAGCTAATGCTTTTTCTGCTAATTTAAATTCATATAAAACCTCTGTTATAGCATCTGTTATATTAATTCCATTATGATGAATTGTTATTGGAATAATATCAAGTAAAAATATTTTTAATTTTTAAGAATCATCAACATAATGAATTGTAAGACTAAGAAATGCTATATTATTAGATGCGGTCTATATATCATTAGTGAAAGCTAGTTTTTCTAGTATTAACTTATTACTAATTTTATTTGCTCTTTTTTACTTTAAAATAATACTAATATTTGATCTTTAATTATATGTCAATTATGAAATCGATATCTAAGATCAAATTTATTGATCATTTGTCTCTATTCCTCATATTCTACAACACTGAAGGTTGTATATCATATATAATCCAATTAATAACATATTTGTCACGCTCTTGCTATTTATTTTCAAAATGTGAATTATTGTGATAATCATATAAGGTTTTTTGTCATTGCTTAAGTACTATAATTTTATGAGAATTTAAGTGTCTTCTTAATGAAAAAGTCCCTGTTAATGATAAAAATACAGTTTTGTATTCCTTACAAGTAAGGCGATTATTATTAAGATTAAAATGCTCTCATACAGTTAATTTAGAAATTCCTTTTTATTTTGATTTAATAGATCACGATATTGTTAATTTCTCTTGAATATCAGAATCAGCATCATCATCTCTTATTTCATCATCTTTCTGAAAATCTTCTTCATCTTGAATAATTGTAATGTTATTATGTGTAAGAAAAAAAGAAAGCGTGAGAATTATTTTTTTAAAAAAAAAATTTAACCTTGATTTTTCATTTTGCTATTGCTAAACAATTAAAGTTAATGTTGAAGTAAAATCTGTGATTATTACATAAATAAAATTTTTATGTATCACAGATCATTATACTATATATATAAATTATAATATAATAACTGGTCCTGGATTGGTCTTCAGTATATGAACTGAAGATTGCAAGACCAGTCTAATTAACCAGTTCATGATCAGTCTTATTAGAACTGATCTAATCTTACAAGTATCTAATACTAGCTTTTGAAGAAAGAGCATTGATAGATCACATATTATTACTATAATAGATTTCAAAAGGAAGCTGTTATGAGGTATTAATAAGGAGTTCTGATTTTGACTAATTGACTTATATATTATTAAAAGTGAAAAAACTGTTTGCAATAGATATAATATTTGTTAGATTATCCCTAGACTTAGTGAGTCAATGAGTATCATCCATGTAGGCAAGAGCTGAAATTTTTAAGCAAAAAATATTAAAAGTGGGAAGACAAGCATCTAGACGCTATTTGACTTCTATATTAAAATCATGTGAAGAATTATTAATAGTACATAAAAGCAGATCATAGTAAATACATTACAAAAGTAGTGATATAACTTTATCTTGATCTATTTCTGAGTAAACAAGGTATATGTTAGAATTGCTGTGAGTAGTGAATATTTGATTGAATCTAAGCAAAAATAGGCATAAAATAGTGTAAACAAATTTAGCAGAAAGGTGTAATCTTGCAAGTACCGCTGCAAGAGTAAAAACATTCACTCAGTCATAGGCTTTAAACATGTCTTATAAGAAGACCCACAGTTCTGTATTATTATACAAAGCATTTCATTTGATATTATCAAAGATATGAATGGAATTAAAGGTGGATTTGAAAGGAAGATCAGTGAAGTTGTATCCTTTTAGAATATCGTGTTGAATAAAAACACCAGCAAGTCTTGAATTAAGTAGTCAAATAAATGCTTTCTGAATGTATTTTAATAATATAATCAAACGTGTATTATTTAAATCATATTCTATAGTTTTAATTTTAGGATCAGGTAAATATATGCCAAATTCCAACGGTTAGGTATTGAGGAAATTTGTAAACAACTGCAGATAATATATTATAAACATTTCTTTACAAGTAGTCCCAAATGTTTCAACATTTCATTCAAAATTTTTGATAGTCCTAGGCTTTATCATTCAGAAGTCAATCAATAATCCTATACCATTCATTCGCAGAAGGTAAGGATATATTAAATTATTGTAAATTTGTAGATTAATTGAGTTTGCTGGAGTATATGCAGAAATTCAATCCTCTAATATCTTTTTAGTACAATGTATAAAGTCTACAACTTGTTGAAAATGTCTGACGACTTCTTTTTTACATCAGGTTTCTTAAAAAGTAGATCTCAGGATGGAGATAAATTATTGACATATCTATCTAATATAATAGTAGTTTTTTTTCGATTAAGGGCTAAATCAATCATTCGAGATAAATTATATTTAAGTTATTAATATAGGTATCAAGAACTTCCTGAATACTTTTGAGTTTAAAATCATATTTACACAGTTCTGCTTTTGTTTTGAGACCAGTAAGAAGAAGTTTATATCTGAAAACATAGAACGAATCAAGACATAATAAGGAGGACAATCGAAAGGAATAGTATTTAAGTCATTAGAATGGGTAAGCTGTAAAAATTGTAAATATAAATTAATCTACTTAGTATAAATAATGAAGTCTTTGAGACACTTTTTTGATGTTTTTGCAAAGTAGTTAAGTAATTTTATATCATTATAGATTTTTGTAAAAGTGATAGGTTTCTTTGAAAAGTGGTAATTCTTTGCTTTGTATATTGGAATACATTTTTTGCTACTGAAATGAAGGAGTCTTAAAAGAGATCCCACGATAAGTTCAAAAGACTTTGTGACTAGTTTGTATTTTGTGAAATATGTTTTAGCAAGTTAAAATTCAACTTGTTGTCAAATTTGTCTCTGAATTTGAACCATTTAGAATCATTCATTAAGTTATAATTAAAGGAAGATTTAACTGGTCTTTTTTTTATTAATGCAAATTGTTTTAAGAAATTAATTATTTTAGTTAAAACAATATAGTGGTTAGAGACAGAAAAGTCTATTTGAATAGTTTTGCAGTTAAGAATATTAAGCGTTAATTCAAATATCATAAAAACGTAGTCAATTCTAGATGAAGATGTTTTGTTGACAAAGGATGGATATAACATTCTGTCTTTTTTAAATCAAATATTAAAAGCGTCATACAAATCGTAATGATTGAAAGAATTAATAAAGTTCAAATTGAAAGAGAAGTTATTAGAACAATCCATATCTGCATTTAAATCTCTAATGAGAATGATATAAAGCTTATTTTTAATGGTATTATCTAATAATATTTTAAAAAACCAATTAATTGTTTTGTAATATCAGTTGAAGGATTGGTAGATGGGAGATAATAATTAACAACCAGTAATTTTTGTTTGTTTGTAAATTGAAGTTTTGCGTAAATAATTCTATCAAATTTAGAGTCATAGATAAAAATGTGTTTAGTAATACAAGGGCTAAAGGAAAGGCTAACACTAGTTTCAGTAGGACAGGAGTTTTAATTATTACTAAAAAAAGTGGTATAATCAGAGAAGTTACGGTTGAAAATGAAAGTAATTCCCTTAAAATTAGTTTCCTATAAACTTATGATGTTAAATTGATTAGTTGAATATAAAGAAAAAAGGTAATTTTATTTTGCAGGATCATTGAAAGAATGAATGTTATGTGTTGCAATTCTAAGATTAGATAGAAAGGAGTGTAAGAACTAGAAGTATTTGTGTAATTTATTGTAGAAACAGTAATCATAATAGTAATAATAATTATTGTTAAAAGCTGCTGTGTAGCGTTTTATTACTTTGTCAAAGTCTTCAGTTAAAGGTTCAAAAATTTGTGTATCATGTTTGTTAAGAATATTTTTGTTGAGAAGAGTGGTTTGGAAATCATGACAAGACTTAAATAACTTATTGAGTACAGGAATGAATTCTGATATATATTATTATTATTTCTGACAAATAAGTATTAGTTGTTCATTTGTTTGTTTTTGTAAATGAGCAGTGCAAAGATCAGTATTGATATGTGAAGATTTTTGATCTACTTCAATAGCAGATTCTAGTAAGTTGTTGTTAAATTCTCCTGTTTTAGCAGAAGTGATGATTTTGATATGAAGGGCTTTTTCAACGACGGCTAAACATTGCTGTGAAAACTTAAATTTAACACAAAGATTAGTGAGCGTATTGGAAATAGAAATAAGTTAGAAAGTAACGAATTGTTTAAAATCTGGATTATAGATTGAGTTACCTTTCATAGTACTATTGTTTAATTTTAGAGTAGAAAGAACTTCAGTTTTCATAAAATCATATATGGAGTTATCGTCTGCTCAGTGTAATTTTAATTTATCAGTGAAAGAGTTAGGAAAAGATGTATTAGCATTAGGCTTTGGAGGTAGAAGTAGGGAGGTCTTTTCTTAGAAGTCTCTTGAGAACTTTTGGGTTATTGCAGGGTCTTGGTCACGTGAGTAAAAATAATATTATTATGAACAGCGTCTCTTACAGGATTTCATTTAAATGCAATATAATTATTGAATTAAGCAGGTTGGAATCTTTGATACAGATTTTGTATGCTACAATCTTTAAGAGTTTAATGACGTTTAAGATAAAAAAATGTAATATGATGCATTAATAAGCAGATAGCACAAAGTTTAACTTTTGGGTTAATTCACTTAAGTTTTTTGTTATTCAAAGTTAAATTCTTGATATCCATAGTAGCTTGAGTATCTTTTTTGTTAAGAAAATAAAAAAATGCATGTTGTAAGTAATTGTAATTAGACTGAGCTCTAGGAATGATTCAGGTAATGGTAGAGATTATATTGCTGATGTCTTAGAGGTCATATAATGTAATATTATAGGAAAGGTTAGTAAGTTTAGCTGAAAAAGTGAAGCGAGCTTAAATATTATTTCTGGAAAGACTGCAAGGATAGTAATAGATCATATCATTTAAAAGGTAGATGTCATCTTCTTTTTTTAGTTCTTCAAGGTTAGCTTCCTCATCAAAGGTGATCGTAGCTCTTTGCTAAAGATTTTTAGTTTTCATAGTGAAACGGATGATATTTTCAAATCTAGAAAATAGTTTGCATAACCTAGTTTCTGTGGCATCTAGAGGAATTTTTATAACTATAATTGACTGATCAGGTATGTAGAAGGCAGATTTTTTTATATCTAATAGTTAAAACATAATGTTATTCATATTAGAAAATTTGAATTTGCAAAAAATATCACATTCAGATTTGTCTACAAAAGCAAGCGAAGAAATTGATCATCAAAGTTTAACATAATTTATACAAAAAATATTTGTATAATATTAATTTTTAACAATCAATTTTTCTGCAGCCAATAATCAGAATTTTACGATTTTAGGCTTGTTGGAATTATTTCATTGAGAAGAATCCGAATCTAAAATTAGTTTTATAATATTTTTTATTAATTCAAGCCAGCTCAAACAAAGAATTACTTTTAAATTTAATCTAATAATAAGAATATATAATTAATTAATAAAAATTTTAATAATCATAAGAATTTTAACAGTAATGTATAACTTAATCTAATATTTATATTTTTATATTTCTGAATATATTCTGATATAATTTAAATAAATAAAATAAAGTTTACTTTAATAAAAAATTTTTTATAAACAATTTTTTTGATATACAAATCTTTTTGTATTGGAACATATTATTTTTTTTTTGTGAGCATGAGCATTAATCCTAATTCTTTTTTTTTATATTTTTTTCTACCAGAATTTCAAATACATATAGATAAATTGTATTAGCTTTAATATCATATCATTTGATTGATATCAGATCTATATCAGTTCTGTCAGAAAAACTTGTTTTACTGGAAAACTTGTTGTTTTATTAAAAAATGTATTAGTCAATATTAATAATTGATCTTTATATTTGTAATTATTTACTTCGCAATGCTTTTCATTTTCTAGAAAAAGTTATACTATCAATAATGTTAATAGGTTTACTTATTTTTTATTTATTACAAATTAAAATCATGTAATGTAAAACAAAAAAAGGTCTAGCATGTTAATATTGTTTACAGTTGTTTTCATAAATCGCAGGATATTTGGCAAATTTTTTACTAACTCAGGTTGTCAAAATAACAATAAACATGTGATATAATATAAATAACACATTTGAATTTTAAACGCTTTACACAAAAATACAAATTATTTAAGTTGCCAGATCACTATTAAAAACATTATTTTTCTAGCAACCTGAATTGCTAGATTATTGGAAAGCACTAGGCAACAAATTTGCTGCATATCATGTAACTTTTAAAAATAGCTCAGCCTGATCATCTGGTCACTTAAATCAAACAACGTGACTCTGACCTAATAGTTTTTTTTAATTAGGACCCGTATCATAAAAATAATAGTCCTGACTTGAAAAAAATTCAAGTCAGGTTAAATAACTCAATCATTTTCAGAGCTCTGATATTTTTTACTTCACATTATGGTGATAAAGTTCAAACTATTAATACTTTTAATCATAATATTTATAACTTTTAAGATATCTTTTGATTTAATAAACAATATTTTTAAAACTTATCTATTTTTTATTAATTATTCTTATATTACAAGTATTAAATTTTTTTTTAAAAAGAAGAGAGCATTACATTTGTAAATAATTGTAAACTTTTAATTATCCTAGTTTTAAGTAAGGATGTTTGCAAATTCGATGAGAAGGATATATTCTTTGATGATATTTTAATTGTTAAGGTGTAAAAAATAATGTATAATTTGATATTTATATCAATGTTTAAATTATGAGTATAACGTGATTAATAAAATATATGGTAGAAAGAAACTCAATTTTGAATATTTATCAAATTCTTTATATATTTTCTTGTATTTAATAATAATTTTATTTTGTTTATAGATAGTTATGAATTTGTGTTTATATAATAATAACTTAGTTAATCTTTATTTTTATGAGAAATTAAAAGTTTAATAATGAATTATTTAAATTGATTTAAGATCAAATTATCTTTTGGAATATATAATAAATTCTGCTCTTTAAGCTAATTTGTTATAAATTACCAAAACTTCGATAAAATATTAAAAACTCATATTTTGCAGATTTAAGAAAGATACATAATTTCTGCTCTTTAATGTGAACAAAAATGTCTAGATAGTTGAAAAATTAACTTTTACATAATATACCATGCAATATGGGTTGATTGCTAGGAAAATCAGGTTCCAGAAATTTTTTAGCAAAATTGAGATTTTTATTGCATTTTAGTTTTTGATATTATTAGATTAAAATGTATTAAGTTCATAATTTTAGTCAAAATTTTCTCAGAACCTGATTTTCCTAGAAACACTTCCATATAGTGATCAAAAGAAAAAAAAGTGTAAAGTATCACATTTTAAAAAATTTAATAATATACTTTTACGAGTTTTAGCTTAAAATGGTAGCCTTTTTTTTCAATACTTAGTATATTTTTTATTATTCTTATATGGCAATTCGATGAAGAGAAGTTTTTTTTTTAAAAAAAATAGTATATTTTTTATTATTCTTTAATATATCTTTTAGCTCTTTTGATTGAGTTCTTGTATATCTTACAATTTACAATCAATATCTTGGTCATAATCTATCATAATTGACTAGTACTGATTTATTAAGAGATCAATTATTTGACTAATTCAATATGATTATGTTATGTTACAAGTTAATGATCTATCCTACATATAAATTTCAATTTTGGATAATGTGATTTTGCTGCTCTAATTTAAAATTAAGGCAAATTAAAAATTGAGACATGCAGTGATCTAAGTTGATTATTGTTCTAATTTAAAATTAGAATAAATTAGAAACTGAAATAAGTGGTATCCCAAGTTGACTATTTGCACTAATTTAAAATTGGAGCAAATTTGAAACTGAACTATTGTCTCTAATAAAAAAAGCTACAATTGATCATCTTCTCTAGTATTACTACTAAGTTTTTTACCTTCACATAATCTTAGAAATATTTGTCACCTTATAACATACCTTACATAATTTCTATTTTATAAGTATTCTGAGAATTTGGAATTTTTTTAGGTGTGAAATAATATTTGTTCACAATTTATTTGTCACATGGTTAATTTTTTAATATGTCAACTAAAAGTCATGTAGGGTAAAAAACTTGGTGGTAATACTGAAGATAAATTTATTCTATTTGAGAGTATAAGCTCTTATCCTATTCTGTAACTGTTTTTTTCACGTGATATTTACTTTAAAAAAATTTATTTATACATAGATACAGGTTAAAGTTTATACCCAGATATATTTTAAGGATGCCTATACTGGAATAGCTCAATTAATTATTAAAGCATGTGATTTATTATAGCTAAGTTCAGGTATTAAATTCGAGATACCTCAATTTAAAATTTAAATTTAGACTACCCAAAATTGAAATTTCAGTTCTAGGCAAAATGGATCTACCCTAATTTAAAGTTGAAGTAGATCGCAACTTAAGGCATAATAATTATATGAAAGGCGGTCAGCATAGTGAACTTGCTTATATCATTTATTGATCATTTATTGATCATATATAAATGAATTATCACATTATATAAAATCAGCTGATCTTAAATTAAAAGCTTCAGACAATACAGCATATGATCAGACAAATTTTACAAATTAATAAATTCAATATTTTAAATTATGTATAATGTGATTTTAAATAGTAAATCAAAGATTAGGCATTATAAATAAGTTAGCTAAGTACTAAAATAAATAATTAAGTAAATTACATAATAAATTAATTTTTTTAGATCTAAGATTTAGGCAAAATCATAAATGCATAGCTAATCTATATTGACTATAATATTTGATATTTTAGATTATGTAGAATATAATATAAAAGTATTACAATAAAATTTTAAATAATATAAAAGTTAGCTTTAAGCCAAATTTTTTGAATATTTTAAATATAAATCATGTTATTATAATTATATTAATTTTGATAAAATGTTACTTCTAATATAACTTACCTAATAATATTATATTTCAATAAAATTTAATATATTATTTTATTATATTAAAATGCAGCTACTTGTAAAAATTTAACATCTATTATTATGTAAGATTTCTTATTAGAGCATTTTTATATGTGATAAAAATGAATAAATGATCAGCAAATTGATCAGCAAAATGTGATAAAATTAAGCATATTCGCTATACTGAGGCAGTCAGTAGAAAAGGAAGAAATTCACTTTTTATTCAAAAATATTTTTATTGGTTTACTCTGTTGATTATGATCATGTAAATAAAACTAGCTTAATAACTAAAATTACTTTAAATTTATAGATTTTCTCTTTTTCGATTGACCGTCTCCCAAATGTTCAAGAAATATTTCTTACAATTATGGCTGCTAATTAAAGCATTATAAATTTTTGTCTCTTTAACTAGCACTAATTCATTAAACTAATATAATATTTGTATTAGAAATAGGTATTTCGTGATATTATATATACACAAAACTTTTTACTAATAAAATAATTCATAATTAGAGATAGACAAGACTGCTAATTCTTTTTACATTTAAAAGTAAAGATAATATTTTACATGTATAAAATTAACATTTTGACTTAAAACTAAATTTATTTGATAAAAAATATTCGTTTCAGTCTTAAGTAATTATTACTTAAGTAGAACTGATTACAGACAACTCTTGTTATAATGAACTCTATATCTTAGACCTCAACTTTGCTATAAGGCTATAGTAAAGATTTTAAGAGATTTGATTGGCTAATTCGCTATAACAAGAGTATTTTTATTATATTTGTTCAAAAAATTCGTTATATCAAGAGTTTGCTATATCAAAAGTTGACTGTATATATAATTTATTTTTCAATAGTTGACATAAGATATTTAATTTCTATTGTATTAATTATTCATTTATAAACTCAATTAAATTTATTATATTTAAAATTATTGATGATAGAAATAGGAAGTAAGTAATTTAATTTCTATTAGACTAAATTAAATCTCTTTATAATAATAATATTAATATAATCTATAGCGTATTTAATTTTTATAATATGATTTATTTATATATAATTTATAAACTTAACTAAATTTATATTTGATTCTTCAATGTTTAAAATTATAGAATATAAGTTAATTGATTTTTATAATATGAGAGGTAGTCAGTAGAAAAAGAAAAAATCTACTTTTAGCCAAAAATTTTTTTATTAGTTCACTTTACTAATTATGGTCATATGAACAAAATTTAGCTTAATAACTAAAATTATTCAAAATTTGTAGATTTTTCCCTTTTCTATTAAATACCTCCTATTTTATTAATTTATTTAAAAAATAAAATACATATAAATTTGACTAAACTTTTATTTAAAAATTATTTATAGTTTGTTTTATTATATAAATTTAAATAATAAAAGTATTTATCTTTATTTATATTTAATATGACTTTGAATAATAAATAACTTAATTTTAATGTTACATTTTATGTATTTAACTTTTATTTATTAAAAATATTTAAGATATTTAATTTATATTTATAAATTTTATTTTATAGAAACATATAATATTTGGAAAAATCAAAATTGAAATGATTTTGAATTTGAAGATTAAAATATATCATTTTTAGATAATAATAATTTAATATAATATTTTAATAATATAAGAATTTCGAATAATAATAATTATTTTTTTTTATAAATAAAAAAGTTTTTAAAGTATATAATCTTTAATAATAAATTTGATAATTTTTTTATTTATTAAATTTGTTATTAATAAGAATTAAATATTATGTATTTATATTAATTAATATAATATTAACAAAAATATAGTAATTAATATATTATTTAAATTATCTATTAATTTAATGATAAAAAATTAATGATTAATAAAATCAATTACTAGAAAATTAAATTTACATATTATTGAATTAAAAATATAATAAGATTAAAATATTTGCAGATTCTAGTGATTTTTTTAATAGCTTATTAGATTTATCTTATTAATGTATTATTTTATCATAAAATTGTAAAATTGATTAAAATATATTAATTTAAATTTTAAAATAATAAAGATAAAATTAAAGAAAATAATAACTGAAATATAATTTTTTTTTTAAAAATAACAAAATAAGATATTAGATAATCTTAATTAAAAATATTTAAATCATAATATTTTTTATTAGTTTAATAGAGATATATATAATAAATAAGAAGAATACAATAAAAAAATAAATTAATGTTAAATCTAAACATACTTTGATCTAAAAACTATATTTGATATATAAAGTAAAATTGATTTTTTCTAACAGATTTTCTCTTATATTTAAATATAATAATTTATATTTATTATTATTTATATTTCTTTTTATAAATTAATATATATTTATTATAATATTTAGAATTATTAAATGTAAAAATATCAAAAATTCAAAGTTATATTAATTTAATGAAAATCTTTACAATTATTGATATACCTATAAATTATCTATATAACTTTAATCTAAAATTTTATAAATGATTTTGATTTACTAATGAATGATAAATAATAAGTAATATTATAATTGAATATTTAAAAGATTATTATTTATTTAAATTTATTAATTTTTTTAACTTTTGATAAAACATATGAAAGAATTTTTTTTTAAAATATAGTTAAAGATTGCCTTTCCTTAATATTTATAATTATATAATAGTTTTATTACTTAATCTTTTAAAAATGATGATAATTTTATATAAAATTAAAAGAAATGAAAAATTATTCTTTATAAATTTATTATGAAAGTATATCTATTATAAATTAGTAATTTAGTTAATTTCATTTATCAGATCAAAATTTCAAACAGATAGTCTGAGCAATATAATTATTCAAAATTGATTTCTATATTATATCATTACTAATTTTAGATTTATTTTATCAATCATCAAGAGTTACAATATATATAGAGATTTTTTTTTAAAATGTCTTTTTTTTTTATTTTTTGCATATTAACTTTTATTGTTCTTTTAAGCGTGCATTTTTTTCAATAAATCTAGTTATTTATTAACTATTAATATAATAAATATAATAAATACTTTGACACATTTTAATCTTTTTAAATATTATGTATATAATAATATGAATGTTTTACTAGTTAAGTATTTTATATAATTTTAAAATAGATTTATTATGATAATTAATCATATAACTGGATCTTTAAAAGATAGATATATTTAATATATTTTTGCCTTTTACCTCTATTGCTTTAGCTAAAAAATTAGATTTATCTATTTTTTATCTATTTCATCATAGCAGTATATATAATAAAACTATATTTTATTAGTATCTTTATTACATTCTTTATATATAAAATAAATATTTTCTATATGCTTATTAACATAATATGATAATAACATTCTTTTAAGCTTAAAAATATTTATTTCAATATATTAAAATATATCTTTCTTTACTAATAATATATGATAAATTCTAGTAAAATCAAAAATTTAATTTTGTAATAAACTAAAATAATAAAATATTTATGAATGCATTAAATATAATATAAATTAAAATATTTTATTAAAAATTAATAAACGTTAAAAAAAATTGTAAATTTATATTAAATTTAATAGGTAAGTAATTCTTATTAGAAAATTTGTTAAGTTATTATATATCTGAAGTTACATTATAAAATAGGAATTAAAGTTCTTTGTGAATATAGTTAAATAAAGTATCTTTTACTAATGAAATAAAAAACTTTGAAGGAATTTTTATGATGAAGATCAACTGATTCTAAATGAAAATTTAATTATGTATCTCTTCATAAAATTATAGAAACTTATAAATATATAACAAATTTATTTGCTATTAAGAGTATTTTTATTTTTCTCTATGAATATTCTTTCTTGTATCTGATGTTTTTCACTGAAAATTTAAATGATAAATAGGATATATAAATTAATAAATCAAAAGCTCATCATAGTCATAATTATAAATCACTATAAATATTCTTCATAATTCTTGATGATTATAATATAAATACAGTATTATTTATTTTATAATTATTCTTGATTAATATATTATTAAAATTTAATTAGTAGTTTTTAATATTTACATTATTTGAAATAATATTCTCTATTTTACTTTATAAAAATTTCCTTTATCTTTTTTGATTTTATTATAATTACTCTCCATCTTACTTTATAATATTTTTAACATTTTTCCTTTATCCTTTCTTTATATATTTTATTATTCCTGAGTATGTATATTTTTATTGAATTTTTTAACAATACATCACTATTTTTTCAAAAGTTTCTTTTTGTAATGTTTTTTAATCATATATTAATATGAAAATCTTCTTTATTATAAAATTCTTCAAACTGTATTATAAGATTTACTGATTTCTAAGAAGGTTTTAGTTACATTCTTTACAACTAATTTAACAATTTTAAATAATGAAAAGTTTATCATTAAATAATCTTGGTATGTGTATTTTTATTTTTATTTTTATTTATTTATTTTTTATTGTTTGAGGTTACCTTTTTGGTTTTACTAATTGAAAATTTTTTAATACAGACAGATGGATAATAAACAAATGAAATAGAATGGAAATATGAAGAGTAGATTCAAACAAAGAAATCAGAAGTAAGAAGATGAAGAGTAGAATTTAAAGAAAGAAATCAAATGAGAAAAATATGATATAAATTTAAATTCTTAGATTTTAATTTAATTTTTGGTTTTTTGATTTATTTTTAATTAGAAATGTAATGGGTATTTTATAGGAGGGACTAAAATGTAAAATGTAATATATAAAATTATTTAATAAAAAAAAACATATATTTTGATTAATTTAAAATTAAAAATAAAATTTGGTTTACTTTATTAAAATTTTTGCTTCAAATATTTCATTTGTTTAATATTCCTTGATCCTTAAAATTATAACTACCACGATATATAATTTCCATAATTTCTATTTTGTAAAAAAAAAAAAAATGAAAATCATTTGCATCAGCAAAATTCTTTGACTATACCATTATGAGCCTTTCAATTTATCAGATATAACAATATGTTACTTTTATTTGAGATGGTACGAAACCATGATCTGCAGAACCAACTTAGCTTCCTCTTCCTTCTAGGTAGAATTTTCCAATCAACAATGCACTCAAATTCATACTCACCAATTGAAAGGAAGAAATAACGTTATCCACTCTATCATTGTAAGAAATTAATGAAATAACCTTTTCAATATCGGGTCTTTTATCGCCCCAGCAGTTGTAGATACTCCAAAGGTTCATGTCAATCATTACATTTTTTTCTAAAAAAAAAAAATTTAATAAATAATTTATTATTAGGCCACGCTCATTAGCATTTTCGGTCACGTCACCCGGCCAGTGTCACCTTAACAAAAAAAGTAAAAAAATTATCACATAACTCTAAAATATAATTGTCCGAAGCGACTATTTACTTCTAGACATGATATCAGAAATTCTGTCTGTTCAAGCCAATAGAATTTTGAGCGACGTAACATTGTGTTACATACAGTATAACTAAAAATAGAAATTCAACATTTTGTGTGATACAATAAATGTAACGCAGATCGTTCATAAATTTGTGTTAGATATCATATCATAATATATATCAATTATTTTAAAATTTCCATATCATATTAGTATGACGATATGTAACACTTGATATGACGAAAATATATCATAAACACACTGTGCGAAATCCGACGCTTCGGACCCCGTTTTACTAGTTTTATTAATACTATTGTATTCAATTCTTTCATTTATAAATAATTTTAAATGTGAGAAGAAGGTTTTTTAATAATAAGCAATTGAATATTTATGATGTAACTATTATTCAATAAAAATTAATTAAATCAGTATTGCCTCGCAATTCAATTTATTAAATGCTTAACGCTAATCACTAAATGTTATTAATTAAAACTACAATAATAATCGAAAATGAAAATATTAAAACAACGAAATTAACGAAATTACAGCATAAAATTATGAAGTTATGACGAAAGCGATAATATCGCAAGGAATAAAGGGAAGGAATTAAGGTGATTTATAAATAAAGAAAGGCGAACTGTGCTAAAAGAACTTGAGGAACCTGCTAAAATTCCAAGAGAAACCCAAATATATATATTAATTAAAACAACTTGGCATCCTAACAATATGGTATCCTAACAGGTCGAAATTGATCTTCAAAGGCTAACCAAAATTATCGAAGGCCGATTTATGAGCGAAAATTATGATTTTTCGGGTGGAATTATATCCACGAATATTTATGGTTTTACCACTTTATTGGTTCTCGTCGTTTCTTGGTTTACTTTGATTTTATGTTTCTATTTACTTCCAGCTGAAACATTACAGTATTTACAGAATGGACCAATTTAACGCTCACCAATCACATCGTTACGATTTAATATATATTTTTATAATAAAATAAACCTCTTTTAAAATTTTAAATGTGGTAATTTCAAAAGTCACGGGACAGCTGATAATTGGTTTCAAAAAATTTTTTTATCGGCATAATTATCGGCTGTCCCGTGACTTTGAAATATGTAAAAGTGGTCAAACAGTCGGTCATAAACTGGTCAGTCAATAGTCGGTAAAAACCTATGGTTGGTATAATAATTGATAATAATTGTTTATAGATCAAATAAATAATTATCAACTAAATCAGTTTAGAAAATTTGGAATAAAAAAATAATTATTCTTGAATTTTTTTTTTTTTTTTTTTTTTTTTATAATTTATAATATGCCTGTCTGATGATACCTTTCGAACAAAACCTTGCTGATATTAATAAACATATATTTACAGTTCGGGATAAATCGAAAGAAAGTTGTAATAAATCCGGAATAACAAACATCATACGCACTTTGTTTAGTTTTTGCGTTGCAGCCCGAGCTATTGTATATTATTATCTCACCACCAGCTTCGTTTTTTTCTTCTTTTTATAGAAACAACTTTTTAATTTTATTGTTTTTTTTCCATCCCCTTCTTTTTAACTTTGTTACTTAACACGTCAAAATTTTTAATCCGTTCTACACTTTAAATATCTGCCCCGTTATTTCTCCGAGTTCATACATGGATTGTGATAAAATTCTAGGTCACCTTCCTTTTAACATATAATATAAATTATGATAATTATTGCCGTTATGGCCAAGCAGCCTTTTATTTAATGATTTATTTTAAAGACCCAAATTTTGAAGCAAGGCCTGGACCGGATTTATATTAAATTGTTAGCCTATAAGAAAGTTAACCTCGTACTGATATATGGAAATTTGTCATTTGCAGAACAAATGACCGTGAGAAGTTACTGAGTTTGATTAATAATATTCGGGTTTCCTGTAGTCCGAAAAATAACATGCCAGCGTTTTAGTAGCAATAAGAAAACTTTATAAGGACGATTTCCCGTCCGTGCTAAACGGTAATAACCATTTGGGAGGTAAGCTATTAAAATCACGTTACGGATCTGAATATTGTAAACCCGAGTGAATTTCATATTACCAAAAGCAAGTTAGTTATTACCATAATTGATAGAAATAATGGAAATAACAGAGCGAACATTATTGTAATACCCTGCCATATTAATTCTGAAAAGTTACCGATTTTACATTTATGGTGTCAAAAGAAAGATAGTGAAATATTAAATAACCAAAAGAGAACGTTCTGTCAGAAGATGTTTGTATGTTTATGTGTTTACGCGCCATTTTCATTTATGAGATTTAGTGCTTTGTATTAATTACAACTGTATCATTCGGTTAAATGTAAATACATTAGTAGATGTGCATGAAATTTTCAATGAAGGACATTGTTACCTGTTCAAAGGACTCGATTTAGCTGTCGAACCATATCATTTTCGCCGTTTTTATCTTTTCAGAGGTTAAACAATATTACAGAGTACTCAACTCGTCACTGAAGATATTATGCCATATTCAAATCTTCGAGAAAAAAAATGAAACTATGCCTCAACAAACTTACATACTCTTTGATTATTAATGATGCCATTATTGCATTGACAATGGAATATAGATGACGTATACGATGAATCCTTGATTACATATTAACTAGATGATGTCACACACATATCAATATAACTCTATAATTATTGAATAATTAGTATGGATCTGGAACGAAACCCAGAAACCCAAAAATCGGAACAATAATTGTAATATTCATGTAATAGGAAAAAAAATTTTTTTTTCAATAATGAAATCGACTTTTAGTGTTACAAGTAAACTTATGAACGATAATAGCATAAATCTTGAAAATTGAATTTTATATTATAAAATTTATTAATTATTATGCAAATATAAATTCTCTTTAAATGTGATTATAATTTTAATAAAAAAATTTTTTTTATTAAATATACTGTACTGTCAAATTCTCAAGTTATTGTGTAATAAATATATATTATTACTAACATTTTATGCGATTAATTGAATATTATAGTCGTGTCTAGGTAAGTTCTAATTTTCGATTGAAGAAATAAAAATGTCTTGAATTAATGTTGGTAGTGTTGTATTCAGTTTTCTTGTTTATGTATTTTATAAACAATTTGTATTTGTAAACAGAAGGTTTTTATTGAAGTAATTATGACGCTAATAAATGATAATTACTTAGTTGTTGCCTCAACGTCAGCGCTCTACAATTCCAATTTATTAAGCTCGAATTACTAAATGTTAATTAAAACTACGCTAAAAATAAAAAAATAAACAAAGGAATTGAAACGACGAAATTAACAAAGTTAATCGCCAAATAGCATAAATTAATTATTACGGAATTGTCATATTATTAAGTCCGGGCCCACTTTTCAACGCAATTTCAACTTTCAAACAAATTTATTGATTCGAATCCATCATTCTTTTGAGGTGCCGATGAAAGAACTTTTCAGAATCATTTTGATACCATACAAAGGCTAATTTAAATTTTCTTACTGTTATACCATATGTGAGTGTAGGATTGATTATTGTGTGCAGAACTATATATAGAAAGAAGCCGTTTTAAGAAGTAACATAAAATGATGATACAAATCCTAGGGATATTCATATAGGAAACAAGTACGTGAGGCTAACGCCGACTTTTGAACTAATAGGCGGCAGTTACATACATAATCGTAATAAAATTATAAGTATTTCGATTTAAAATGAAACAAAAATAAATATTTTAATACATTAACAAATGTAACACATGATGGTTTCAAAATATACTAAAACACTATATAATTCATTATTTCAAGTTGTTAAATTGTACCATTGTGTATAACCTGTTAATCTTTAACCAATCACGATTTTTAAGGTTAGCTCTGGCCAAATATTATAATGATGGCGAAATAATTGCCAATTATGAAACAGAACGTAGTTTCGACCTAATGATAAACTAGAGGAATTAATATTAAGGTTGTGGGGCACAACCCAAATCCATTCTGGCAAAAGTCGGATTTCGACGGGGTTCGATTTCACAAATTTCTATTTTGACAATCATCATTTACTACACGGTTTCCATTGGCATTGGGATGTTGAATTGTTCGGGTATCTGTATCATGATATGCAAATTTTAATTTATCTTTTCACCGGTGATTCATTTTACTAGATGTGAAAAAATCTATTCGTCACATACTATCCGTCACATGTGCGCCACAATTACCATAATGCCTTAATGCCGGCCAATCGTGACATTTTTGATGGGTGTCCCATCGATATAATAATCAATTTTTATATTTTGGTCCTTTGCAATATTAATAAGAATTGTCTTTTTAGCTGGATTATGACTAATGAAAAAAAATATATGGTCTTTTTGCGAAGCTTAATTAAATTTTTCTTTTGTATTTTTTTAATTATTACTCATATTTCTTTGAATATTTATCCTTAATAAATAAATATTTATTACATAAAGATTTATTTAAAATTATTGAATTTTTATCTAACTACATTTATGATTTCTATAATATACTTTTTGTTATTATAAAATGATTTCAAAAAATAATTTAAATAATTTAGTACTCATTTTTGAAGATTGGTTTATATATTTTTATAGACTTATTTTTTTTATTAAATTTATGTCTCCCAGAATTTTATCTGAAATTACCTTAATTTCAGATCGTTTCTATCTGGAAAATTAAATAAAAGTAATTCAGATACCCGGATAAATGTTTTGTCTGAAATAAATTACCAATTAATGGGATTTGCAAAAATTTCATTTAGATTTTATTACATTATTTCATAATTAATGAGTGGCATACTTTCAATGACCCTGAATAGGTAATTATAGCTGAAACGATACTGGGTATCATCACAAAAGCTTTGGCTTCGATTTCTCAAAAAACTAGTTTTTGTCAGATGAGCGTTACTCGAATTTTTTAATAACGAACCAAAGTAAATATAATAAAATTCATTGAATCCAATTGGTTTTTGTTTAAATATTTAATTTCATATCGTTAAAATTTCTTCGTTAATAAACAATTAAGACAATAATCATTAAGCGAATATCAATGGTTCGCAACCAGAAGTTCGGCTAATTTTCTAAAAATCAAGTCTTTAAACAATGATATCACGTGATATTGTAAAGGGAAATAAAATTTCGTCATGGGTGAGTCGATAAGGTCATTTACTAACTTTTTCCAATGACCTTTGGTCATTTCGACCTGAAATTTATAATAAATTGATTATAAAGCGTTTCATGATAAATCTCTAACATGTGACGCAAAAAATTTTTCACGTGAACTTGATACATTAAAAACCCAAGAATTGAAATAAAATACTTGAACCAGGCGAACTTGTTAAATTAAATTTGAAACTGAAGTGTGGAATACAAATTATTCGATAATGCTTGTCATGAATCAATGAAATTCCTAATATACGGTATTTAACTATTCAATGTTTGTTTATTCCAAAAGAATATATTCCTACGTATCATGATCCTGTGATCGATCGTAAAGCGTGTGCGTCACGAGTTTTGGTAGTCAATAATCTTGTCTTCCTAAAACGCCATTGTCACTGAGTACAACATGATTGCGAGTAGTTCCAGACTAACTGGGCATTCTTTCAGTGGAACAATTGGTCCACGACAAGCTAATTTGTTTTACAAAACGTGCATCAAATTTCTTTTGATTCACTGAACTTTTTGTTGACATTGTGTAAAGGTATTCTCGAACATTATATACATATTTCATTATCTTGCATTGACCATGCGCAAGATAATCCAAACAATTTACAACGCTAGGACAAGTCGCTTAAGAGCTTTGCTTGCTCCACGCGTTCTTTTTGTGTCAACATTTAGTATAGATAATCAAGTGTAACCGATTTCATAGGAATTTCAAATATATGTTGTACAAACTTTTTACGACATAATTTTATCAAACGACAAGTTAATCGAGTTTTTCAAAGTTATTCAACGGCATGAAATATTGAGGAGTTCATATTTTTGCGATACTAAATGTTAACGACAATTTGGATGAATCGAAAATTAATATCCCCAATAGTTTTATTTTATTTTTTTTTTTTTTTAATATATATATATATATTTTTAAAGGATAAAAAATCAATTTGTATCCCAAATTTTCGAACCAAATCATTTATACATAAAAGTGCATATTAAAAGTATTGACAGAAAATAAATAAAAATAAAATGTTCTTATTAAACTATATATAATTAAATTCTTTTTTGACACCATATTCTATATATTTCACAATCAGGTGCTATGCCCTTTTCAATTTCTTGCTTAGCTTCATCAAATAGATCAAAATATTCTTGTTGTGAAAGGTTCATAATTTTACTCATGGTTTCAGGCATGGGATCATTCAAGAAAAATCCATCATGTACTTCCAAATATGCTTGTCCGACGTTTCCCCCTTTCTTCATCCCTAATGGTACTATGGCAACTTTTGATTCGATATTATGTACCGTCTGTGTTGAGTTTAAGATTTTGATGAGGTTTCTATACATTCGTATTCTCACATTACGTGACTCGCTTAATTCTATCACTAGTTTTTTAAAATACATATAAATTTGATTAATTTTTGTTTTTCTTTTTACGATTTAAAAAATTTATGATCCCAAGGAAATATGTATATCTTACGTGCGTCGTAGAATCTTTTAAGTATTGGACCAGTTTTAGGAGCTAATTCGGGTTCGGTGAATTCTATGTATCCGCCCGGTTTGCACACCCTAGATTTAATAAAATAAGAAAAATTATAAATATAAAAAAATATAAATCGCGAATGACCTTCTGACAAAACGTAAACTTACCTAATTAGTTCTGAGATGATGAAATTCCATTGATCTATTGTATATACTTCAACCATGTTTCCTTGGTGTACGTAGTCATATGTATTGTCTTCGAATGGAAGCCCATTCAAAACATCGACTTGCATAAATTCCACGTTATCCGGCTTAATCTAAACGGATGATAATTGTTAATATATATATATTTATTTATTTTTTAAATAAATTATTTTTAAAAATCGAACGATTACTTACTTCTGCTGGATATATAGTGCACAAATCGATTCCGAGGAAACTCGATGACCTATAAAGTGTCGCCGATTCTAATAACCAAGTTCCCGACCCGCAGCTGATTGATCCGAAAAGAAGAAAAAGAAGGGGAAGGACATGAATTTAATGGAAATTTTATCTCCGACAATATCACGCGGATAATGGATTACTTACCCCACATCCAAGACTTTACAATTTTCATTTGTCAAAATTTCCTCAACTGGCGCATTATGGATACTTTGAAAAAGATATCGCCCAAGGAAATGTCCCAGTACCATTATGTCCGTATCTTTTATAAAATTTGCTAAATAATATTTTAATGGTTCTTTTGCATCATCTGTTTTTTTTTCATATCTTTGGATGGTTCTGGTATGTTTTGATTTATTTTTCTTGCGAAGTTTATTAATTGATATGGCGCCACCCATCGTTTTTTTTTTTTTATGATGTTGAAGAGATATTAAAGAGAGGAAGGAATGAAATGATTGGATAATAAAAAGAGTAAAGTAGATAAAAAAAAAAACTTTTTTATTTTTTTTTGATTTAGTTAACGCTTAAAATTATACATTTTCATGGTTCTTTTATAAGAATTTTTTTTATATGTTATATAATTTATGATGGGCACGAACGCACGATACAGATCGAATATTGGATGGTTATTGATAAAGTAGCAGATCCAAGTCTGTGCACTGGACCAACATTAAAAAACCCAAAAAGTTTATTTTATTCAGTTTTAACCCTTTTCTTAAATTTGATAAGATCTTCAAATCATCGACTAATTTGTTACTAAAGTCCGATGACCTATAAGCATTACCTAGCCTTTTATAACTATTCCGATAAAAAAAAAAAAAAAAAAAAAAAAAAAAGAGAGAGAGAGAAATTAACTGCAAGGCAAAGCTGTGGTAAAACAAAAAAAAATAATAATAAATAAATAAAACATTAAATAATACAATGTTTTTAATTTTCCACCGATAAGTTGTTTACGCCTTTGCGCATTTATTTATCTTACAAATTAAAAAATTAACTTCCCCATTATTCTGTTGGAGTTGGACATAACCAACATGTCGGGCATTTCTTGCAAACTTCTGGGTCAGATGAAGGTACTAGCTGCGCATACAACACTGTAAGATAAACAAATAAGTGATTATATAAATTTAATTTTTTTAATATTGAATCTGGAATTAACTTTTTTAATAAACAAAATGCACAAATTCATTACCGGTCAAACCCGTCATGTAAAGGATGAGTATCATTAAAAATTCGAATTTAGAATTAATTCTCATCTTGGAACGAGTAAAAAAAAAAAAAATATTTCTTTATTCAGATGAATGTTTCAGAGATTGTTATGATTTTTTAAATTTTTTTTTTTTTTTTTTTAGGTGCGCCCCAAAAGAACTTTTATATAGCATGATGATTTTTTTTTAAGCCCAAAAATTAGTTTTTCGTGGCTTAAAAATTTATTCAGCCTGAGAATTATCATAACTGTGTATAAGATCTAACTTTATACCGACTAAAAATAAAAATAGGCAACTTGCGCATCATTAATCAAAAGCCACATTTGATTGACGATCAATTACAGAATTTCTGGCACGCACGTCTATCTCCACAATTTTTCTTTTATCTCAGGAAAAAAGGCGGAAAATGTAACATAATAAGACCAGAACTTTTATTTTTTTTTTTTTTTCATACCTTGTTCATTCAGAAGGAAAAGGATGAAATAATTCTGTTCGAGTATTCGTAGTTTCTAATGCGTTATATAATCGTATTAATCATTAATCATGCATACATAAATTTTTACTAATCAAGCGCGGTGCCTAGAACGTTCACTCCCAAATTTACATAATCATTACAAAACATGGATCGACATGCGAACCTAGCACAGGAACAGTGAATACGAGATTACTTAAAGGAAATGATTCTCGGGTCAGGTTCATCCTAGTCGTCTAGACATGCGTCGATCCTTGGCCAAAATTAAGATTATAAAATACGTGACAACTAATAATAGACTACGAATCATTATTTGTAATCGTTTATTTAATAAACTGTTCATATTACAAAACTTGTAAACGCTAAACAATGTATGAAACAGGAGATTTGTAATTGTTTTGCAAAGCACGGATCCCAACAAATGTATATTTTCCGACGTCCGTGCCTTGTTTTCAAAATGAAAAAAAAAAAATATAGCACTGGTCCAGTAAAATCAAAGGGTTCGGCAAATTTAATTAAAATCAAATTATAATAAGATGGTGCTTTGATGTTTCTCAAACACCAATTTTTTATCATATTGAAACTTGAGTGTTGAATGCTTAACATGGGTCGCGCGCACATAATAACAATATTATAATTATTAAATAATAAAAGATTAAAATCTAAAATTAAAAAGAAAAAAATCCTTCGAATTGAAACTACAGAGACAATGATTCATTGACGATTCCCTATCATTTTTTTAAAATATTCAAAAAAATGATTTCCGAATGAAATTTTTTTTTAACTGGTCGATCTTAACTCTGGCCAAAATTATTTTTATTTTGACCAAATTTATAATGCCTGCCCGAGCTAAGTTTTAACCCAATTCAAAGTTTAGGCCGAATCCAAACTCTATTTAAATAACTTTAAGAAAAAGAAATTTTGTCAAAAATGTCATATGTTGAACCACATTATACGTGAAAATAAATATTTTTGTTGGCGATGATAATTCATATGAATTAAATTCGATTTATGAAATGAAAAAAAAAAAAAAAAAAAAAACGAAAATAATGAGTCTTGACAAATATGTATATTAACTAGTTTAGTATCATTGCCATCTGTACTGAATACCGAATTTCTACATATGCGATATTAAATTGCATGAATTATTTAAAAGTGAAACCTTTGCTTTCAATACAAGTTCGTTAAAGACGGATACAAATGTGATAGAATAATGCATCTGTTCTGTATACGTGAAAAATATGAAAATGCATGAATTACAAGTAAAATGGCACAGTCATAGTGTTTGACCAAATGTTCAAGTTCCTAATTCGTATATTTCAATAAGTCTGATGTACTTTATACATAAAGACGAATTATAATATACTTTCTTTGTTATTATGTCATCTTTATTGTTATGCATGAATTGAATTTTTAATTATTAATATATTTATCGTCAAATCTTTTATTCACGAATGCGAATGAAACATATTGCTTACCAAATTCACTTTTCGCCGAAGCGCGAGAGATTATTCAGAAGATTTTGTGGTTTACAAAGCCGTATCCTTTTTTTATTAATATTCGGAAATTTCAATTTTTTCACGACTAAAAATGGTATCTTTGTAATGTATATTAAATTGATTTTTTTTTTATTAGTTGCTTGTGATGCCTCAACAATTCGGAAATAATGGAATTAACCATGAAGGGTTTTTTTTTATTATTAAATATCAATATTATCTAACTAAAGCGTCCATATTAATTAAAAAAATTTTTTCTCCTAATCTCCGATTCAGTTTTTCTTGAAATAACAGAAATGTTGTCACGTTACACCGGTTACCAAATTTATGATGTCTAATCCGATAATCTTACACAGCACAGCGCCTAAACAAAAATTCCGGCATTACAATCAATTTTTTAACAGATAAATCTAGCAATATAAACTTTTTTATTTTTTTATTTTACATTATCCTAAATGCAGAATTGCAAAAAATTTAATTAAGAAATATTTTTATCTACAGAAATATTACTGGAAGGATAAGTTCGGTTCGGTTTTATCCCAATGACAATTGTAAAAATTTTAAGGTTAAATTGTTTGAGGGGTAAATGAAGATCAAATATAATTTTGAGAAAGCGTATGCGACTGTGAATGGTTGAGATCAAATACTTTATAGAGTTTAGGAATAGGATTAACATCCCTTCGGATTAGATTTATTTGGTTTAAAACTTAGATAAAGATAGTAATCAAACGATTAAAACGTGACGGTTTTTAATCAGGTGAAACATCCCAAATCAATATCCGTGCGCATCATGCTAACAGAACGTCACGTCGCATATAATTCCAGATTTTTTACCGCTTATACCCTCGTTCAAAACTCGTTTGAACCTCTTCTTCGCATTTCAATTACTCGGACTTTTTGTCCATTATAAGCTAATGATTTTATGTTTGTCTCTCGGTGGATCAAAATTGATTTAGGTATCACCTGCACGTGTTTCAATTTATAAATTTCGTACGTAACCTTTCAAAGGAAAGATCAATAAATATATATCAACAATTCAACAAATTTAATTAAAATCATTTTGTAAATATCTAGAATTTATTAGCAAATAGATTTGCAATGACATCAAACATATGAAACGAAGAGAATGACACGTGATCCCATCTGACGCGTAACTAATAAAAATAATCAAATATACTAATCTTCCTCAAATCTCTTTTGACACCATATGCGATATACTTCGCATTCTGGAGCAATACCATCCAGAACTTCTTTCTTAGCTTCGTAAAACATTTCGAAATATTGTTCTTCCGTAAGTCCCATAAATTTACACATCGTTTCAGGCATCGGTACATTTAAGAAATATCCATTATGTACTTCCAAATATTCATGCCCAGCATTTCCTCCTCTCTTTGAGCCCAATATGGTACTCTTTATTTCTGATTCAACATTTTGTACCATTGGTATTGAGTCCAAGATATTAATAAGATTTTCATACATTCGAATTTTGACATTACGAGATTCGCTTAATTTGATCACTAGGTTTTTAAAAAAAAAAGAAATATATATATATATTCAATTCTAACTTAATTATATGGGTTGATTGCTAGGAAAATCAGGTTCCGGGAATTTTTTAACAAAATTGAGATTTTTATTGCATTTTAGTTTTTGATGTTATTATATTAAAATGTATTAAGCTCTTAATTTAAGTCAAAAATTTCTCGGAACCTGATTTTCCTAGAAACCCTCCCATATACCAACTTTACATAAATGAAAGTTTTCAACTTACGTGCATCATAGAATTTTGAAAGTATTGGGCCAGGGTTATTTCCTAATTCGGGTTCAGTGAATTCGATGTACCCGCCCGGTTTACATACTCTATTTATTAGAAGTAATATATCCGTAAATCGCGAATAATCTTCAGGGGCTTAAAGGTGTTGATGTAAATCATACCTAATTAATTCCATTGTAATAAAACGCCATTGACCCAATGTGAATATTTCTACCATGTTTCCTTGGTGTACGAAGTCAAATGTATTATCTTCGAATGGAAGCCCTTCCAAAATATCACCTTGCACGAATTCCACATTATGAGGTTTAATCTATTAAATTACAAGCAAAGTTATTCTTATGCTGAAGTTTTACTGATGAAAATATCTTTGAATTACTCACTTCTGTCGGGAATACAGAACACAAATCAATTCCAAAAAAATTTGAGGATTTATAAACCGAAGCCATGTCTAATAACCAAGTTCCCGCCCCGCAACTGTTAACCGATCATGAAGTTTCATAAGTGAAGTAAATCAATTAATGGAAACAAAAGAAGAAATAAAATAAAAATTCGTGAATATATAATATTTACCACACATCTAAGACTTTAAATTTTCCATCAAGCAACAACTCTTCAATCGGAGCATTAAAGTTGCTTTGAAAGAGGTATCGATCAAGAAAATGTAATATTACCATTATGTCTGTGTCACTTATGAAATTCGGTAGGTAATATTTTAAAGGTGCTGCTTCATTTTGTACATTCTCAAATGATAATAAGGCACGATTGGACCTAATAGATTTGCGCATCCTGCAACTTGAGAATGCTTTCCCCATTGTTTTGAGAAGAGTTTGAAAATTCATTAAATTTTTTATTTGAGAAAAAAAAAAAAAAGAATATACTGTATATATATATATGTGTGCATTACTTAACCATGACTAATATTGATCATCACAAAAGCTCCTCATTCTAAAATGGAAATTCCCGATAATTCTACATTACAATTTCTGTTTTCATTTTATCTTCTTGCTTGAAAGTTTGGCTTCATCAGAAGAAAATCTTTCTCATCCGATTTTAAATTAAATTTTAAATTTTCGCGGATATCACTTTAAATTAAATATATATAAAAGATAGTTTAAAAATAATATGGTTACACAAAAATATCAAGTACTAAAAAAGAACTTGAAACTGTTGAACAAATATAAATAGTTTGATAATTTGGGTTTGCTTTCCGATTTCGGTGAATCCAAGGCCAACAATACAATTCATATGAAATTACATTTTATAAAGGCAATCAAAATGTGAATTATGAACACTGTTTTAAATTTATTATGCGCATTAACATAATGTGAATCTATTAATGATGACATAAACTAAGTTTTTTAAAAAAAATGTTTCAATTCTTTTGACACCATATCTTGTAGACTACACAATCAGGTGACATACCATTCTCGATTTCACTTTTGGCTTTTTTAAATAATTCTATATAGTCTCCTTCCGAAAGCCCCATAAATTTTGACAAAGTTTCGGGCATGGCCTTTAAAAAAAATTCATGATGTATCTCCAAAAATTCATTGCCAAAGAATCCTGAACCCAATGAAATCATTGCTTTTTTATATTTAACATTTTTCACTGATGGTGTTGAGTTCAAGATTCTAATAAGATTATCATACATCCGCATTTTCACATTACGGGATTCGCTTAATTCGACCACTAAGTTTTATTTTTTTTTTAAAAAAAAAAATAATTTTTTTCAAAATCATTTATAATTAATTAAACTTTCTTTTAATCACAAGAAAAAACAAAGTTGTCTTATCTTACATGCATCGTAGAACTTTGAAAGTATTGGGCCAGTGTTAGTTGCTAATTCTGGTTCAGCGAATTCTACGTATCCGCCTGGCTTACACACTCTAGTTTTTATAGAAATCGGAATAAATATTTTTTTTCTTGAGTTGCTTCGGTGGTACGTAAACTTACCTAATTATTTCCGTTATAGCAAAATGCCATTGATCCAATGTATATACATCTACCATATGTTTTTGATGAACGAAATCAAATGTATTATCATCGAATGGAAGTCCATCCAATACATCGCCTTGTATAAATTGCACATTTGCCGGTTTAATCTAGATAAAATAACAATGTTATTGTTTTTGAAATTGAACCGATGAAAATATCTTGTATTACTCACTTCTGTAGGGAATACAGGGCACAAATCAATTCCAAAGAAATTCGATGAACCATAAGATGAAGCCATGTCTAATAACCAAGTTCCCGACCCGCAGCTGGTTAGATAAAAATGCAGATTAAGAAAACGTTAAAAATCCAACTGTTGATAACCAACTCAGCACGTCAATATAAACTTGATTAACGAGCGGTTAATTCCATCCAGCCGAATTTGAATTTCTCCGCCGTTCAACTGAAATTTTGTTTAATAAAAATAATTACCATACATCTAAGACTTTACATTGTCCGCTAGTCAATTTTTCTTCAATCGGAGATTTAAAATTGCATTGAAAAAGATATCGATCAAAAAAATGTGACATAACCATTATATCCGTGTCCTTTATAGAATTCGGTAGGTAATATTTTAAAGGTTCCGTCTCGTCTTGTACATTTTGTACAACCTTAAATTCTAATGATGTACCGATAGTTTTGCGCCCCCTGTTAGTTGATAAATGTTTTCCCATAGAAAAAAAGGTTTGGAGGAATTTTGAAAATTAATAAAGGAAGGGAGGGGAGTTTTTATTTTATTCTCTTGAAAACAAAAAAAGAAAATAGTCATTTTCAATAGTTTATATATATATATATATATATATTCTTTATATATGTATATGTGTGTGGTGTGTATATATATATTTGTGTGCATTACTTAACCATGACTAATTTGATTATTCTCATTCCAAAATAGCCATTCCCGATAATTACTTAATTACAAAACTGCTTTTCAATACATCTTTTAGTTTGAAATCTGACTCCATCAAAAGTAAATCTATTTTAATTTTACTAAAATTTCGCGGATCAAATAATATTGATTACACTAAAGATGTTTGAAACATATAAATTGGTTACTAAACTAACTCTTTTGTTTGCTGGATCATCGAAGATCAATAAAAATTTATATGAAAATTATATGCTTTAAAGTGACAATAATATTTGGGCAAAATGTAGATTATTAATTCTTCGTTCTAGATTTTTTATTCTTTGCGCACAATAACACAAACATGTGAATCAATTATTTAGGCATAATTTCTGAATAACATGGATACCATGATAATGATAGTAATAACGCTAATGATTTTAGTGATATTATTATACATTCTACCCTCTCTATAGTCACACCCCTCGGGATCAAAAAAAAAGTGATTAAAAAATACTATATGATGTGACTAAAGCGAGGTTTTTTTAAGTAACTTGGCCAATGTAAGTGTGCTTATAAAGGGGTGTGACCACATATGAGTGTGACTATAGAGAAGGTCGACCGTATACAGTTACTAATAAAATTTTTTTTTTTTTTTTTAAAAAAAAAAGAAAAATTTACTACAGCTTTTGACACCATATTCTGTAGAGTTCACAATCAGGTGAAATACCATCTTCGACTTCATTTTTGGCTTTTTTAAATAATTCTATATAGTCTCCTTCCGAAAGTCCCATAAATTTTGACAAAGTTTCGGGCATGGTCTTTAAAAAAAAATCATGATGTAACTCCAAATATTCATTGCCAAGGAATCCTGTACCCAATGAAATCACTTCTTTTTTAGATTCAACGTTTTGCACTGATGTTGTTGAGTTCAAGGTTCTAACAAGATTATCATACATTCGTATCTTAACATTACGGGCTTCGCTTAATTCGACGACTAGAATTTTTTTTTTTTAAAAAAATATAATGATTTTCAAAAAATTTATAATTAATAATATCTTTTTAATATAAAAAAAAAAAATAATAATTAATTAATTAATTAAATGTTTTAACTTACATGCATCGTAGAATTGTGAAAGAATTGGGCCAGAGTTAGTTGCTAATTCTGGTTCAGCGAATTCTACGTATCCGCCTGGCTTACACACTCTAGTTTTTATTGAAATAGGAATAAATATTTTTTTTCTTGAGTTGCTTCGGTGGTACGTAAACTTACCTAATTATTTCCGTTATAGCAAAATGCCATTGATCCAATGTATATACATCTACCATATGTCCTTGATGAACGTAATCAAATGTATTATCATCGAATGGAAGTCCATCCAAAACATCGCCTTGTGTAAATTGCACATTTGCCGGTTTAATCTAGATAAAATAACAATGTTATTGTTTTTGAAATTGGATCGATGAAAATATCTTGTATTACTCACTTCTGTCGGGAATACAGGGCACAAATCAATTCCAAAGAAATTCGTTGAACCATAAGCTGAAGCCATGTCTAATAACCAAGTTCCCGCCCCACAACTGTTGAGATAAAAATGAATAACAAAATTGTTAAAAAATCCAACGGTTGATCTTAGACTAGAGTTATAAAACGCTTATTCCAGCCATTCAACTTATAAATAATAAAAATTATTTACCATACATCTAAGACTTTACATTGTTCACTAGACAATCTTTCTACAATCGGAGCGTTAAAATTGCTTTGAAAAAGGTGTTGACCAAGAAAATGAAATATCACCATTGTGTCTATATTTCCTATGAAGTTTGGTAGATAATATTTTAAAGATTCTGCTTTATCCTCTTCATTTTGTACACCCTCAAATTCCAATGATGCACGTTTGGACTTGATAGTTTTGCGCACCCAGCAAGTTGAAAAGATTATTCCCATAGAGAGTTTCAGAATTAATTTTAAAAGATTTCGAAAAGTAATAAAGTGGGGAATTTTTGATTCTCTTAAAAAAAAAAAATAATGATAATAATACTTTTCAATAGTTTATATATAAATGCTGATTATACAGTGTGTGTATATTATTTGTATGTATTATTATACAATGACTAATAATCTAATAATGATCATCACGTTCCAAAATGGCCCATTCCCGATAATACTACATTAAACTTATAATAAATATATAAATATAGTTTAAAATAACAATCAATAATTTGACTGGATTGGACAGAAACCGTAGTCTTGAAACATTATAAATTTGGTTTTGGTTCCGAATTTGGTTAATTTAAAGCCGCAGTATTTGTCAAAAATTTATATGAAAAATTACGTTTTAAAGCAAAAATAGATTGTATTATTATTATTATTATTATTATTATTAAATTGAGCCCATGAACATGATATGTATCAATATTTGGGCCTGACTTTTTGAATAACTTCAATGCAATGATTGTAATAATGCTAATGACGCTAGGGATATTATATAAATAAAATGAAGAATATTAAATGAAGGAATGATACGTTATAATTTAACGTGTATATTTTTAAAAAATATTTATAAATTGTTCTCATCTCTTTTGACACCATATTTTATAGACTTCACAATCAGGTGAAAACACACTCTCAACTTCATTTTTGGCCCTTTTATATAATTCTAAATATTCTCTTTCTGAAAGTCCCATAAATTTAGACAAAGTTTCGGGCATAGGAACGTTTAAAAAAAATTCATTATGTATCATCAAATACTCATTGCCGACATATCCTCCTTTCTTTAACCCCAATGAAATCACTTCTTTTTTAGATTCAACATTTTGCACTGATATTGTTGAGTTTAAGATTCCAATAATATTATCATACATTCGTATTTTCACATTACGGGATTCGCTTAATTCGACCACTAGGTTTTTATTTTTTTTAAAAAAAAAAAAAAAATTTTTTTTCAAAATCATTTATAATTAATTAAACTTTTTTTTTAATCTCAAGAAAAAACAAAGTGTTCTTATCTTACATGCATCGTAGAACTTTGAAAGTATTGGGCCAGAGTTAGTTGCTAATTCTGGTTCAGCGAATTCTACGTATCCGCCTGGTTTACACACTCTAGTTTTTATAGAAATCGGAATAAATATTTGTAAAATCTTGAGTTGCCTCGGTGGTACGTAAACTTACCTAATTATTTCCGTTATAGCAAAATGCCATTGATCCAATGTAAATACATCTACCATATGTCCTTGATGAACGTAATCAAATGTATTATCATCGAATGGAAGCCCTTCCAAAACATCGCCTAATTTAAATTGCACATTTTCCGGTTTAATCTAGATAAAATAACAATGTTAATTGTTTTTGAAATTGGATCGATAAAAAATCTTGTATTACTCACCTCTGTCGGGAATACAAAGCACAAATCAATCCCAAAGAAATTCGATGAACCATAAGCTGAAGCCATGTCTAATAACCAAGTTCCAGCCCCGCAGCTAGTGAGATAAAAATGCAGTTTAAGAAAACGTTGAAAATCCAACCGTTGATAACCAACTCAGCACGTCAATATAAACTTGATTAACGAGCGGTTAATTCCATCCAGCCGAATTTGAATTTCGCCGCCGTTCAACTGAAATTTTGTTTAATAAAAATAATTACCATACATCTAAGACTTTACATCGTCCGCTAGTCAATTTTTCTTCAATCGGAGCTTTAAAATTGCATTGAAAAAGATATCGATCAAAAAAATGTGACATAACCATTATATCCGTGTCCGTTATAAAATTCGGTAGGTAATATTTTAAAGGTTCTGTTTTTTTTTGAACATTTTGGGTGTTTTTGGATTTTGCTAATTTGCCGTGTTTTCTAGAAAATGAAAGAACGTTCCCCATTTTTGCGTGTAAAAATAAGATTATTTATTATAGTTTTGATTTTAATTTTGTCCTTTTTTTTTTTTTTTCCAAAGGAAATAATACATTTATTAAGTTGTATTTAAACTTTGAGCCAAATTTTGGATCGACAAATTTTTCCTGTACCAATTAAAGATCACTAAGTTCATTCCAATATTGGTAATCCCGATAAATAAAGGTATAATTTATATAATACCAGAAGTTCGGACATGATTTAAATCCCCCACATATTGCGAATCTTTGTTTTATTCAAAATAGGTCTAGTTTCATTTTTGAGGTTTCCCGGTGATTTGGTGATTATTCCGAGTAATCAAATCGGGATCGGCGAATCTCTGGTATATCTAATTATTATTTACAGTATATACTTTTCCTTACGTGACGATGTACGTTTGGTTTTGGTTTGTGTTTCTTACGACATTCCCATTTTTGAAGTTAAAAAAATTTTTCGCATAAATGGTTTTTCAATCAAGTCAGATACTGGTTTAATGCCCATATTAGACGTGGGAAATAATTAGAACTTACAAATGAACAACTATCCGGACTTTGTTAGATCTTTTACTTTTCTGCATTAAGAAAATATCGAGTTGATAAACTCCGAAATGGGAACGATTTTAGTCGATTAGTCATAAAAGGGAAATCGTTTAATAAATCTCACGTTACATCGATTTATTCAGTTATAAATAAAAATAAAAAATTTTAATACCTTTATTTTAAATTATAAACTTAATAATAGTTTAATAGTTTGAAATAAAAAATATTTTAAATGATATAAGTAAAAAAAGGTTATATTGTTTATTTATTAAGCAATGTATTTATTAATATGGATTCTTTGGAGTAAAAAGGGAGAAAACTACCAAAATAAAAATTTTTTATTTTATAAGCTTTTTAAAGTTATTTATCATTAAATTAAAAATATATAAAGTAATATGTTAATATATATTTTATTATAATTTATTATAATTATTTATAAATATAAATTAAAATTCTAAAAATTGATTTAATAATATGATAATTTAAATAAAAAAAATTAAAATTTAACTAATTTATTTTAAAAGTAATTAATTTATATTTATTAAAAATAAATAATATTTAACTTTAAATAATAAAGATTTTTTATTCAAATTTAGTTATATTTTTATTAATATATATATAATTTTAGATATTTTATAAAATTTTTAATAATATAATAAAGAAAAAATTTTTAGTGTAACTTAATATAAAAGTATCATTTGATTCTAAAATTAATATAATTATATAAATATTTTTAATTTAAGATGTGATTCGTCAAAGATCAGCACTAATCACATAATAAACATATAATAAATTTGGGAATAAAAATTATAATAAAATAAAAAACGCATTTACATCTCTCATTGTTTCTACCCAATCATTAAAACCAAATGGTTTTTTTATTTTGCTAATAAAAGTAAATGAATAAGTTTAACTTGTGTTACAAAATTTCTATTATTTTCTATTTTGAAATCAAAGAAAAAATCAAATTATACCCCTTCTTTCTTATTTTTTTCTAATTGATTCAATAAATATTATAGTTTACCTTTTAATTTTTGTAAATAGCTAAAAGTTCTTGTTAATTATCTGTATTTTTTGAGAATACTGGTTTACTTATATAAGAACTTCATTATGAGCCATATTCTCACTTTTGGTAGGACTTTTCAGCTGAAAAACATATTGTAAACTTTCCTATTCATCTTGTTAACAAGTTAAAATTTTTCTCAATGAACATGACTTTTTTTAACAATAAAAAAAGGAATAGGAAACCTGCTAAAATATTATTGCAAAAGTGATCAAGTAGAAACAATTGAAGCCATCTAACAAAAATCATTTAAATAGTATATGCAGTATTATTTAATAATACTACACAATATTAAGATCATATAGTTATAGGTTAGAATAATGAAACTATTTTAGAAACATTCAAAAAAAAATATTGAATTTTTTTCAGTAACATGATTAGTTGAAAATCATAAAATCTTTTTATATGCTATTAGTTATTCTTTATATAAAAAATGGAAATATGCAGGATTAGGCTTTCAAGCTTCTATTATTCATACATTTGAGAAAAAATAAGGGATTTTTATATCACGAATTGAAAATAAGCACTGTATTATATAAATTTATAAAGATTCTTAACTGAAGAAAAAGTTTATTAACGTTGACCCAGATGATATTTGGCAAAAGACAAGGCAAATTCAAAAATATAATAAAATTCAACTTTTTGGTTTAGACAATTTAGTAACTCAACAACTCATACAAAAATATTGAGTTCCTACTTGTAAACTTATAAATTGGCAAGACCAATTATTTATGAAACTAATTTTTGATTATCATTTGAAAAGAAGAACATTGGCAAATATTGACTAGCATAAATTTTTTATTAGTTAGGCTAAATTAATATTACAATAATTAATTTAAAGTCTAATTTGTAAAAAATATATTCACAAAATTATAATTTTAGTGAATGTAAATTTAGAGCGTGAAAAGCAATGCTACGTGCATCTGGATGTATTAATATAACTTCGTGATCACTTAATGAATCAAAGGTAAATATTTATTTTGAAGTTTTAATAAAATAGTAGATAAATTACAATAATAATAAATCAAATATGAAAAAAATATATAATTACTATAATAGATAAAGTGATAAAAATATATAAATTTTTTTCGGTTAGTTTATTTATTATAATAAATAATATTATAATTTAAGTTATAATTATTATAAAATAAAAAAAATTAAAAATTACATTATTTTTTTATAATTTGATAAATATATATATATATCAAATCGAATTATAAACTAAGTTACCTAATCTGATTACTAATAAAGAAATATTAGTAAACTTATTTAAAATAGGATTGCTTATCTCTATTCCAATCCATATGCTAATACAACATTTACTTTTTAGTTGTATTTTGATCAAGCTCTATCAAATAATAAAAAAACATATAAGATAAATATAGAGTATTATCTATAATTACTGGGGATTTTACTTATAATAAATTACAAACAAATTTAGGTATAAGTATGAATTTCATTATTATATTTATTAATATCAATCCAATAAATCTAATATATTTCGTGAATATAGGTTGAAAGACATCTAATTTTAGAATCATGTAAATATAAATATATCAATAAATATAGAGCTTAAGTATTAGAAAACCTTATTATTTATCGAAAAAGATTTATAGTAGAAATATTAGACTAATTTGAACAATTTTTTAATAATAAAGAAATTGTAAATATGAGTTCATATAAAATAGATACCTCTACTGGACAACTAATTTTATATTTGCAAGATTACAAAAGCATTATGGAAATGATTTTTAGAATAGTATCCTAATGGTATATGACGATCTTCATTTATGACAAAATTAAAAGGTGGATAATTTGTATATTAGGATAATCTTGGTGGATTATGTTCAACATATAATGATTTTAGTTATATAATATTTGGTAATATTAATGTACTAATTATAGACATATAACTAATGAATTAATATGGGTATGTAAAATAAATATAATATTATAAATCGATTATTTTTAAATTTCTAATAATCAATTACTATTATAGAAGCAATTGTTAGAAAAATCACAACAGTTACGATGTTATATTTGATAATAATATTGCAAATCACTTATTATTATAGCAGATAATATAGCTTTATATAATAGATGTATTAGTTATTGTATTTAATATACATTTAGAGATTGTGATCTTAACCATCCTAATACCTGTAATAATTGTGAAAATCTGTTTAGTTTTTTTTGATCAGTTAAAAGAATAATTGGAATCTAAATTCAATAATACACTTGATGAATATCAAGCAAACTCATTGTATAGATAGCATACTATGCATGTAAAATTTATCTTAATATTCATGTAAAAACCAATCTTGAAGAATTTGATGCTGAAGGTGTAATAATAATAGTAGATTATAAAATGAAAATTTTACCAACAAGTATATGAGAAACAAAAAAAGATTTTTTTGAAAAACGTAGCTAGAGCTTATATTCAGTTTTAATTTATACTAAAAATATAAAAAACAATTATCTAAATGTTTAAGTATTTGATCATTGGTCTGGTGATACATGTCAAAATGCATGATTTAATGCTTTCTCTTTGCATACTATTTTCGAAACTCTTCAACCAAAGCTTAAATGTATATTAATTTTGTCAGATAATGAAATGCACTATTATTATATCGAATTAATGCTTATTATAAGCTATTGAAAAGAATGGTATAATATTATTCTACAACAATAGTTATTTTTAAATGCGGAAAAAGCTAAATAGCTATAGACTCACATCATACTCAGATAATTAATGCATCATTTAATTTTATAAATTGAAAAGTATTAATATAACTAAAATAAAATTTGAAAAGTACTAGTATATCTAAAATAAATATACTTATAATTTAGATAGCACAAGTTATAAAAAGATATATAAAATTAGGATTAAAATAAAAAGTGAAGATAATATTAATAACGTCATCAAAGATATTATCAGTACATATGTAGCTAATTTGAATCCAAATAGAAATATAGGTATTGATTTCAGTTTCAATTTTGTTAACATTTTGCTAAATAATACTAATTATATATATTAAAATTAGATAAAGAAAAATTAGGCATGATAATAGGAATTTCAAATTTTTAAGAATAGACTTAGCCTCAAAATGAAGAAAAAAATAGTTATATTTATGCTCATGCATTGCCAAAAATTAGTATTTGAAAAGAATATTTACCAGAAAAAATAAAAAAATTGCAAAGAAAAGAAAATTTGAAAAACTAAACCTGAAATATACTTAATATACAGAGCCAAACAAGCAATGGACTATGTTAATTATGAGCAATTCTGATAAACTTTTTATTATTTATTATTTTTAATTATATAATACTGAAATCACTAATTTAATTATCAAATAAAAATTTAGTATATATAAATAAATATGCAATAGTATTACTATTACCAATTTAATCTAATATCAATAGTATTATTAAAATCTAATACTAATTGACATAACTAATTAAATGGAAATTAATAATAAACCTATACAAAATAATTCAGAAGGATATAGGTATAATTATAAGTTATAATTTGATGATTATAAAAAAGATTTCACTTAAAGGATTTTTATATAGTCATAGATTTTTTTTTCCTAGTTGGACTCTAAAAGAAAATGAGAAAATTTGGATATGTGAGCTAATAAAAAGAATGACTGCAGAAATCAAGCAATTATTAAAAGTAATATTTTATACAGGAATAGCAAATCTACATTAAAAAATGAATGCATAGCAAATGCATAAAGAATACTGCAATGAGTACAATAGGATAAATTATATAAAGAAGATGTATCTCAAGTATCAACTATTTAAAATAGATTCTGGGCTTTTCACGAAAATGAAAAGAAGCAATGGTACTTCATTCTATGAATAAAAATGAAGATTCTTAAAAGTTTATATAAACATGAATATAAACATTATTATTTTATTTGAAATTATAAAATTTATATATATTGAGTATAAAAACAAATAAATATATATATATTTACCAGAAATTAATAAAATATCTATATTTAATTTACTGTAAATCTATCGCTGCTTTAAAGTAAACATATTATTAACAAAAATTAACATACTTATTTTTTATAAAAAATGGTTTTTTGACATTTATTACAGTTTCTCATATTGTTTGGATAGGCTGTATACAAAACTAATAATTTTAACTTTATTTGAATTTTTGTGACTTGAGATATATTAATAATGGATTGACATAATTTTGCCCTAAATTCTTATAGTAATTTAGTGCTGATTTCTTACAAATCACATTTCAAATGATTTTTTAGATTTATATTAAATATATTTACTTTTTTAAAATTAAGGTATACTCGAAGGAGAAATCTTAATTTGCCTACTACAAGGTAAATATGAAACACAAGGCAAAATCGTGATAAGCTTATAAGGTAAAACTAAAATAGACAATGAAATTGCGACGTGTCTGCAAGCCTATAAGGCAATAAAAATTTCATTTTTTTTTGTATCATTCGTTTAATTTCATTTTCATTTTTCTTTTTTGTATTGTACTTTTAATTTCATTTTTTCTTTTTATTTTATTTTTCTAATTTTGTTTTTTCATTTGTTTTATTTTTCTAATTTCATTTTATAGTTTCTTTTCGTTTAAATAATTTTATTTTTTCGTCTCATTTAGTTTACTTAATTTTATTTTATAATTTTATTTTAGTTTTTTAATTTCGTTTTTTCATCTCATTTAGTTTTCTTAATTTTATTTTTTTATCTTATTTTGTTTTATTTTTATTTTATTTTTTATTTTATTTTATTTTATTTTATTTTTTATTTTATTTTATTTTATTTTTATTTTATTTTAAAAAAATAATAAATTAAATTTATTTTTAAAAAAAAATTTAAGTAAATTAATAAAAATATTGTATAACAATTGACAGATTGCATAAAATCAGTAATCATTTACCATACTGAATTTTGGCATTCAGACTGATCAGGTATTTGTTATAAGAAAATTCATTAACATTATAACGAATTATGAAGATGAACCATTTTATAAATTCCATAAAAATCAACCTTTACAAATTTTAAGAATGCATTATAATTATGTCTAGGTATTAATCACAGGAGGTATTATTTTTGGAGGATACTATATGCAGTGGCATATGGTAGTCAACTCTTTATAAATGCCTTCCCCTTGGGACTAGGTATAAGCAGTGTTGTTATAGGACATTGATGGAACACTGATGGGACATAGATAGGATAGATAGGACCTTTGGGACATAGTGTGGGACAGGTTGGGACATATAGCTGGGACATATAGCTGGGACAACAAATCTCTGGAACATCAAAAATGTACATCACTGGGTATAAGGGTGTATTTAAAGAGGGTATGCATTTATAGAATACATATAAATCTATATAATATTAATTTAAAATTAAGGTAATACAAAAAATTTATAAGTAAACTATATAAAATTTTTTATAAAGAATGCATTTACAGAGAGTATTTATATAAAAAACGTGCATTTAACACTAAGGCCCAAGTTGGGATCAGATCAAAGGTGCATTTACAAAGGGTGGTTGACATTACCCATAATATCCATTAGACTTTTCCAATTAATTTGCAATGCACTTATTAATAAAAGTACGAAAATTTAATTCCTGATATTGCATATCCGAATTATCATAAACTTTTAATTATTTTTATTGAAATCCCTTGTTAACGAACAAAAAAAATATTTTTTAAGCTATAATTTATAAAAGAATCAAAATTTATAAGATAAATACAGGATAAAAGAGAAGATTGGAAAACATCAACATATAGGGAGAAAGAAAAAATATTTTAAAACTTTTTATAATTTAATCAATGATAACATTCTGATCAATCTTTGCAAAATCTTCGAAGAATCCCTATGATGAACAAAAGTGGATATATATTAATTTCATATAAATAAAATCTCCAATAACTTGAAACAAATTTTGAAAATATTATTCACCTGTAATAACTTAATAGCGTGATCAACATCGTCGGTTCCAGCAATTTCTCTAATAGAATGCATACTTAATTGAGGATTCCCTATATCTAAATTAAGAAGAATTTTAGGAATCTACTTCGAATAATTACTAATATTCATTCTTTTTAGTACATACCAACTGTCCTTATTCCAAGGTTAGAACTCATCATGGGACCAATAGTCGAACCACAAGGAGAATCATTTTTAACAACAAATTCTTGTAACGGCACATTATATTTCTTCGCGGCTTCTCTTAGTACCAAAGAAGTTGTAGCTGTAGTTGCATACCTCTGCCAAAAAGTAAGTTATATATATTAGTAAATATTCTTAATATTACGGCTGATATGAGCATGAATATGATGTACCTGATTGGCGTTTATTTTGAGGACTACACCCTCATGCATTTGTGGACGATGATTTTCTTCATACTTTTCACTAAATAATTCATGGAGGGGGGAAAAAAATATGTAAACAAGTACATATACTAAAGTTTTTTAAATTTTTTCTTGTAATACCAATAATTTGGGTGAACGGCTGTGAAATAAGTAAGAAAATATAAATAATCGTCATCAAATAATTTTAATTCGCAGGTAATACGATAATCATTATATACCATGAGCCATGTCGGCGCTTATCAAAAAACTCTTATGAATGGTTTCTTCAAATATCGTCTATTGTAATAGATTTGACGCGAAAGTATTTTAGATAAAATCAAAATGTAATAGGGCTGTAAAGTATATGTACCTGTGAAATCTCAACATTCCCCGCGGCACCAACCTTAGAAGAGCATAAGCGTCGCAAAGTTGACTCTAACAGACTTGAACCAGCACCATAAGCACTTTGACTTCCAACTTCTTCATTGTCAAATAAAGAAATCAGACGAATATTTGAATCATTACACAAAGTTTCCGAAGTATCTCTGGTGCAGTTTATCAATGCCTAGATTGAATTTATAATTAAAGATATGCTGCATATCTATGCACATATGATAATTCGAAAAGTTCGCTTACGGTTAGGGCAGTGAATGACATCATCAAATTGTCTAAGCGAGCAGAGAAAATGAATTCATTGCAAAGACCTCCAATGGTCGAGGGCTGTGTGTCATAAAGGCACAGTTCAAAATCATGAATTTTATTCGCTGTTGTAATATGAAAAATTATTAGTTGATGCTAAACTGAATTGAAGAAACAAATTTATTTTAAAAATGTGGACCATTGCATCCGAGTTCTTCGGCAAGTAGATTGAGAAAGATGGGATGATGCTTTTCATTTTTTTCTTCATCCGAGTCTCCGATCAACCTTTTTTTTTTTTTTAAAAAAAAAAATTAATTTGATAAATTGGTACAATAATAAATATGTAATAACTTACGATTTGGTAACTGTTGCGAGCAATGGAATCAAATGAGTTTCGTTATTGAATTTAAATGCTTCGTGTACGCCCCTATCCAAGTGAATAGCCAATGTAGGAACACGAAGAATTGGCCTATTTCGGAGGTTTTTTTTTTTTTTTTTTAAATAAAATATATATATATACGTGTTGGTTAAAGAAAAAGAAAAAAATTTTTTTTCTATTTCTTCAATTATTTAAAGCGGTAATTATATACCTTGCGATCTTGACCAATTTATGCTCGAACTTATTTTCACTCGTTTCAACCATTACTCTTCCTGCAATGCTCAGATCACGATCAAACCAAGTATGCCTATTGTAAGGAAGAAAATTTTAACCTTTATCGATAAATCTAGAAATCTTTAAATTAAAGCTGTTCTTACCATAGACCTCCTCCGTAAACCTGAACACCAAGTTGTAAATAACCATAATTTTGTTTCTTGGAAATAGGCTTAACCTAAAAAAAAAAAAATTTTTTTTTTCAATACGGATTCATTTTTCAATAAAGAAAAAAAAAAAATAATGTTACTTGATCGAGTTACCTTTAAACAAGGAGAATCAGTATGAGCTCCAACGATCGAAACACCGTTTCCAGGAACGTATTTACCGCCGACAGCAAAGGCAACGATAGTACTCTTGTTTCTGGTAAAATAATATTTCCCATTATTTCTTAATTTTCCAATCCAACAATCGCGTTCTTTAATTTCTTCATATCCGGCTTCGACCAAACGTAATCTTGCTTCCTCAACTGCATGATACGGTGATGGAGATTCATTCACGAATTTGATGAAATCGGTGACTTCTTTTTTAGTCTCGGTAGCCTGATTTGAATAATAATATTTCATGATCGAGAGATTTCGAAAATGATGTGAACTTCGTGTAATATAAGTTGGAAAAGAAATCATCCATTTTGATCTTGAACAAATAATTAACTAATACATAAGGTTCGTTCATTTTATTTATTTTAGATATCGGTGCTTATTCGGGAAACCAATCCGATCATTTAGAAAAGGTATCATATACTTATAAAATTATGAATTATAAAAAATTAAAAAAAAAAAAAAATATGCAAAACGCAAACTCACCATATTTAAATAGTTGACAAAAGGAAGAAAATTAAAAATAATTATTATATTAAAAATACGTAAATTACCTATTTACGATGGTTTTGGGAAGGAATGAGAGAATATCAAAAAATATTCAATCAGAAAATCGTCAAGATATTACCTTTTTTCATCAAGATCAATTTATATAAATAAAGAAATGATCAACGTAACGAGTTGTCATTTAATGCGTTATAGTGGAAAAACATTTGGTATGATTGATTGATTCCAAACGAGGCAGTTTTCAGGATATAAAGAGGATCATTAGTTTATATATAGAAGCATTCTGATACTCTTGTTCTGGTCTCACTAAGGATGGTCCATTATCGATCCTAGTTCGATAGGACACCAATCCTATCCATTTTATTAAAGCTTTGATTATTTAGTCATATGAGAATTTTTATCTTATGTAATTTGTGTGTATAACATTAAAAAGTAATGTAAATATTTTATAAATAAAACATAATTGATAATTTAAAAATTTAAAATGAAATATATATTTGTAAATTAATTAGATTCGAATATTTAATTTACGATTCGAAGATCCTATTTTTAAACGGTATCTAAGGATGTGGGGTAAAAGGTGAATATTATCAAATACGTAAACATATTTTATTAGTTTTCTAATATGGAAAAATTCTCTCTCCCCAAACAAAACTTTTTCTGAAGATTATTATTTTGATTCTTAGCTATAGTCATCATGATGGTTTCATAAATATCTATTGGTGAATTTCGCTTCAAGAATTCGTGTCCTCATGGTTATCCATGTGATTATTTTTATGGTTACTACTATATTTATTGTTATGGTCTTTATGGTAATATAACATTTTAATTAATAGAAATGCCTAATTTGGATATAAATAATAAC